TTGATGAATGTTTTCATTGCTATAAGCCGATGAGCAACAGGGCTTCGGCGGACAAAGAGAGACATGTATTGCCTAAACTGTGACAACTGATTGATTCACCTTGGGTAGACAATTAGTTTGTTGTCCAACCAACGGGCCATCTGAATCATCGTAATCTATCTGTGCGACCTTTGCCAGTCGAAGGTGGGAAGGTAAGGCGTGTTGTAGGTATTATCTTGGCCTGCAGTGTTTGTGAATCACGGCCATCGGCGGGTCAACCATCCTTCTTAAGTGCCTGCGACGAACATCAGAAGCTGAATCCGGTGCAGTTGGGGGTGGTAGTGCAGATCCAAAGAGTTTCTGTCTCCTCATCGATCGGGAGGGTGGATTTTTTTTGGGTGCCCGGCGTGACTGACAACGCGCTCCTCGTCGATTTTCCCGATCTTTTCCCGTTTCAACTTCCCTTCCTCTTCCACCTCCGTCGCCCGCCTCACAGTTAGCTGTTGTCCATACAACTCAGACCGCTGCTACCCGGCCTTGAATCCTCCGCGGGAGCCATTGGGCTTTCTTGCTCTGCTCCATGACTGCTACGAGCCTCTAGCGGTGCTCGTTGCGGTCTGCAGGGCGCTTCCTGGTACAGGTAAGATCCCGTCGCTACAATGTCTTCCCGATTCCCAGCCATCGTAATTCTGCGACGGCTCTCCTTATTCGACCAGCCACTGCCTCTCAATCCCCTCTCACTCTCAATTTGCGTGGCTCGCTCTGAACTGCTTCCACGCGCCCTTTGCCGTTCTGTCGTGTATCGAATGAAAATACCCACTGTGCAGCATTCTCTGTGCTAACTCGGACATCCACCAGCGGCGGGTTCATTTTGTGTGCTGGATACTGCTGGAGCTCTGCATATTTCTCCTGACACGCTGTCAAAACCCACCTTTGGTTGCAGGGCTCTCGTTCCTGGTCCCATTCTGTAGGGGCTGAATCCCAATTCGCACCCACGTTGTCGTCGCATATTCCGTTTCAGCAACCTCCATCTTCAGCGGTGTCTCATCGCAATCGCGCCGCCTTTGACGAGACCTACGACGTTAACGACCCTACAACACTTACGACCCCTCCACCGCAACGCCAGCAGCAGGCTGCTTCCCGTGTCCTTCCTGACTCCACCCAAGATCCGTTACTTCGACCCTCGAGCGCATTAGGAAGCCCTCGTTCATTGCGGAGAACGGCGAGACTTTCCCAACGACCACCGTCGGTATATGTTTCCGGGCGTCCATCTCAGGTAGAGCAGACTATTCCAGTGGTTGTGCGACCCGTTTCGGAACACCAAAGCGGACTCGCTGCTCTGCGTCCAGCACTGTCTGAGGCGCAAACCGAAGAAGACGACGAAGAGGCCGACTCCGAAGAGGAATCCTCCCGGCGACCGGGCGAATCGTACTGGCCCCATAGGACAACCAGTGTCTCCCCGCGTACCGCGTCTGCCATTCTTTGGACCTTGGAAGAAGCACTTCGCAAACCAATTCCGTTTACGCTAGATTGGGAAGAAGTGAATGCGCCCATGTCTGACGTCGCGGGTGCCTCCGGTCCGTCAGGCTTTAGTGCCAATGGCCGTACTCAGAATGGATCGACTCGCGCCACTCAAGGCCCGGTCCCTGTTAACCCACACCCCGCAAGTGGGGTGCGGACGCCCACGGACATCATGAGGCAACGTCGGGATCGAGAGGCTCGCAAGAAAGCAGAGCAGGAGGCGAGGGATCGGGAGCAGGATGACATCGAGCGCAGACAGCAACAGGAGCAGAATAGGCCCGGTCAAGCTTATGCTGCTGGCGTTGCCGGTGAGAGAACTTCGCAGCGAAGGACGCAAATCCCAGAGCGGTCTTCCACAACTACGAAACGACCAGAGCCCCAAGCCTCTGCGTCTATCCCTGGAACTGGTGGTGCACATGGACCTCTCAGACAAACTACCTCGGCTGGGCAGCCCGGTGCATCTCAACAGCCTCAGGCTGCCCCGCAGAGCTCTGCCGGGTGGTCCAAGCAACAGACCCAGGCGGCGTCTGATCAGCCAAGTTCTCAAGCCCAGCAACAATCTCGTCGCATTCCGTTTCCTCACGCCTTTGAACGATGGGAAACTCTCTCGTCTCATTGGGAGGGCTTGACTGGTTACTGGATTCGCAAGCTGGAGCAAAATAATGAAGCGCTTGAGCGCGATCCTCTTAATCAACAAATGGCACGCCAAGTGACGGACCTTTCCGCCGCTGGAGCCAATCTCTTCCATGCTGTGGTCGAGTTGCAACGTCTGCGGGCCTCATCCGAGCGCAAGTTCCAGCGCTGGTTCTTCGACACTCGTGCTGAACAAGAACGCTCGAAGGAGTTGTTAGCAGAGCTAGAGAGGCAGGTTAGGACCGAGAGACAGGCTCGATCGGAAGCTCTCACTTCATTGCAAAAGTCAGAGAGCGACAAGTTACGCGCCGAAGAGCTGCTGAAAGAAATGCGCCGTGAGTTGCAAATTTCCAAGGACGAGGCCCGCCGCGCTTGGGAGGAATTGGGTCGGCGCGAACAGGAAGAACGCGACCGTACTACATCCCTGCGGAATGGAGAACCTACATTAGTCGGAGGCGTCCAGGTTGTACCTATGATCCCAGGGCCCGCTAGCCGGCATAATACCAATCGCCCGCCAACCCGAGAAAGCCCATATGCAAGTGGTGAGAGCGCCGCGAGAACCACAGCGGTGACAGAAGGTCAATACTACGCCGACACTCCTGCATCTCCTACTGGTACCGATCCTTTCGTGGAAGGCCACAGGCCCATTCAGGAACCTCCGTCATCAACATCTCCGGAAGCTCAGAGACAATACCCTGGACATTTCTATGAGCAGAGCGCCGCATATCCACCTCGGCCAACATCTGAGAATGACGACCGCTCCTACGGCCCCAGCGTTGCCAGTAGCGAGCAAGGAGAAGAAGATGTCGGCAGCAGCTACCGCCGCAACCCGCAGGGTCAGTCAACTGCTTACCAGCCCGCCATGTCCGAAGGCAGCGATGAGTATGAGCATGGGTCAGTAGAGGAAGGTGGATACCCACCCAGCTCCATGCCCACAACATCCGGGCCTCTATACGGAGGCTACACTCAGTCTGTCGATTATAGCGGCTCGGGATGGGGTGTAGGGACAGGTTGGGAATCCGTAACCCCGCGCCATCGTCATCCTACGCGTCTCAGCGATGTAATCGAAGAAGAGGAACCACGGACGACCCCCAGTCGGGCCAGTTTAGCCAGTCGAAGTGTACAGTGAAATACTCCCGACTTGCTCCGTACATACCATCTTTCTACAACCTTCGGGAGCAAAAGATGCATTTCCTTTTTTTTATTTCTTTTCTTTATACCAAGTCTCGCATTGTCTCTACGCCTCGCACCGTGTCAAAATACCACCTGTCGTTTTCGCTTCCTCGGTTTTGCTATTTCTATACTTCATTGTCCCATTATATCAACCTGCGTGTCCTCGTTCCTTCGGCGACCATACATCCCGGCGAGCAATAAATTGCATAGCAAGCAAGCATGTACGACTGCTCCCCTCGCGCAGTGCATTGGACCGGCGTCATTGGACAGGAGGTCGGGTGTAATTTTTGTAATTTTACCACTCTTAATGTCTTCTCAAGCCATGGATACAGAACCCTACATGGGGTTTTTCATCCAATTTCTATAGATGAATCAAAATAGTCCTATAGCCTATTCGACTCATACCAGAACACACGTGACACGAACTTACCTTTATGCCTAAGGCGTAAACGCTAAACCCCATCCAGAAAACAGGCCTCCGGACCGAGCTGTCTCGACATCCAAACCTCCGCCGCGGACTCCGAAAACCACCTACCGCAACGCAAGAAAACTCCGTGCACCAGCCCCCTTCTCCAAACGCGGGCAAATAACAACAATGGCATCGACAATGAGATCCATGAGCAGGATCCTCACAAGGGCATCCCGCTCCGCCGTATCCCCAATTGAACACACCGCCGCGCTCAGAACCCCGACCGGCCTCTTCTCCGCCAACCTCAGAGCAGCCAACAACAGCAGCACCAGCAATGTAGGAGTTCGCCGCTCCTTCTCAACTTCTCCGCTTTGCCTTCGCGCGCGCACAATGGGCCAATTGAAGGCGCGGCACTCGACGGGCCCGTTCTCGTGGAAGGCGGCGCTGCTTTTCGTTTTGACGGGTGGTGGTATGATCATTTACTTCCGGGTTGAGAAGGAGAGATTGGAGCGCAAGCGCATCGCGGAGATGAGTAAGGGTGTTGGGAAGCCGAAGGTTGGAGGGCCGTTTACGTTGAAGGATTTGGATGGGAAGGAGTTTACGGCGGAGGATTTGAAGGGGAAGTATAGTTTTGTGAGTATCTCATTCTTATAGGTTTGGTTGCTTGATGGAGGGGATATTGGAGCTAATTGTGTTTGGTATTCTTGTTAGGTTTACTTTGGATTCACCCACTGCCCTGATATCTGCCCTGATGAGTTGGACAAAATGGCCGAGATTATTGATAAGGTGAAGGAGGCTACGAAGGGCGAGAATATCTTCCTGCCCGTGTTTATTACTTGCGACCCTGCCAGAGATACGCCTGAGGTGCTGCGCACCTATCTGAAGGAGTTCCACCCTGGTATTATTGGTTTGACTGGAACGTATGATGAGGTTAAGCATGTTTGCAAGCAGTACCGGGTGTACTTCAGTACCCCGAGGGATATTAAGCCCGGGGAGGATTATCTGGTCGATCACAGCATCTATTTCTACTTGATGGGTATGTTTTCTCCTTATGCAGCTGGGGGGATAGGTTGAGTGATGCGCGGCACGTGAGCTGACTACTGTTTGTTTGACAGATCCCGATAATGACTTCGTCGAGTGCATCGGTCGTCAGGACACGCCTGAGTCGGCTACGAGGACGATCATGGAACATATCAATGACTGGAAGCGGGAGGGCAAGCCCCTTAAGAAGGACTAAGTGGTGACGTCTCTGCCTGCCTGGATGTGTATCATAGACAATACCCTACTCTGTGATTGTAAAATAAGACTGTCAATTAGCATTCACCATCCATCTCTAATCATTGTCTTGTCCGCTCACCTACCGACTTAATATCCCATTTCATCCCTGTACTAACTTCCCCTCCGCATCCCGATCCCTATTCGCCCTCCACTCCCCCTGCCCATCTACAAATACCTCTTTCTTCCATATCTCCGCTTTCTCCTTACACAGCTCCAGCACCTCCTCGCCAGCCCTCCACGCCGCACCGCGGTGCCCCGCACTAACTGCAATCACGATACTGCTTTCTCCAATCGGCACATCTCCGAGTCGATGCCCAATCACAACACCTAGCAGCTCATGTTTCGCCACAGCGTCCTCCGCGATCTTGGATAACGTCTTCAGCGCGAGAGGCGGGTACGCGGTGTAGCTTAGTTGTGCGACGGGGCGGTCTTCGAAGGAGTTACGTGTCGTGCCGAGGAAGAGGACGTTTGCGCCGGCGTTGGGAGAGGAGATCTTGGATAGTGCGCTCGTGGGATCGAGGGGGTGGTAGGTTAGGGTGATGTGGGTGTTGAGGGTGGGGTTGGTGGTTGTGCGGGGGTAGGTTTGGGGATCGAGATGGGGTGGTAGTTGGTCTGGTTCGGTGGCTGGTGTTGTGGAGGACATATTATGGTCTTGGTTTGGTATCAATACGAGTGGATAGTTGTTGTATGAGTGAATTGAGAGTGATGGAGTAAGTTATCCCTTTGACGGAGGAGAGATATATTATGCCACAGTGGGGAACGGATGGTGTTTATGAGGTGGACGGTGACTTGAGAGATATAATGGAAGAATCCTAGCGTTATTAGGTGCAGTCGATGTGGTGAAATCCAGGGGAAAGCTCTTGGAATGGCACACAGAAGAAGAATGCAAGTGCGAAATGTGCCAGCAACTTTGGGATGTTAGATAGCGGCGTGCCTTATCACGCACCGAAGATGCTGCGGGGAGCTGGTCCTTGATGGAAGGCGGTAAACACAGCTCCGCGCAAACAAGCTACGGAGACGGTTATCTGCCATCAGACAAATCAATTTCTTTGTATTTATTGCCGGCAGATTGGATACAAGATTTCAATAGATCATATAAGCCCATCGTCTACTACATTCATCCCCTCGTTTCACCACAACATGTCATAATTCAAATCAGCTCCTCTTTGAGCACCACCCTCCTCATTTTCATGACTGCATTCATACTCGGATAGAATATTAGTAGGGTTTGGGGGGGAAGAGGGACTAATGTCACTCTCAGTCCAAATCTCGCAACATTGTTGACGGTTGGGTGCGTCGATTCCTTGACATGCAGTAAAGTAACATTGTCCGTGCTAAAGAGTCCTCCAACGCGGGGTTTCTGATGTTATATTGCTCTTCTGGGCTAGAGGGACAAGAATCCAGGGCATGCCCTGCTTCGCTATCTGGAAAACACGGACGGAGCTAAGCTTTCAGCCGCCTTGACCGCGTCATCAAATACGGGGGCAAGCCTTTCCTGTCGCCTGCAGGTCCAGCCATCAGATTGCAGGCCGCAGTACAGATAGCAAGGCAAAAGTAAAGTATCCTCCGATGTCCGACACGGCCGAAGTGGCCAATGCTTTTCGCCTGCAATTTCCTTTTATTGTGGGGATAGAACAAGCACGCGGGGTCGTCCCGCACTAAGGGTCAGCATGTCCAGATCAACCTCACTCGTTTCAATCCACCGTCAGGCCTTCTCTGATCTACTGTCAGGCGTTCGGTGGTAGAAAATATTTCTCGTTCGATTGGTATCTGCCCCGAGAAGTGCATGTTATGCATAGGTGTATATGCAACGTCCAGCCAGGAAAAAGGGCCTTAAGAACGTGTACGGGAAGACCGTCGGACTTCACCCCATCTCCGTTATCCGATGTCCGTAGGGGCACCAGGATTCCTCGGATGAAAGGAAGAAGATCATGGACCGGCAAAGATTAAGCATTGTGGAAGAGAGGGGAAAGGGTAAAGGAGGTCTTCGAGCGAATGGAGTTGGGGGCGGGGGTGGTGAAGAGCAATGGGGAATATAAAAGGAGCTTACATCACGGCGATTTGAATGGGCAATTGGATTCCCTCATCGTGATCCACAGCAATGAAGCTCCTGATTTGGGGCCCTGTGCTGGCCAGTGCCGCCTATGGCCGCGTTATTGGCACGCGGACCCAGTCGAAGAGCACGTTGAGCTCGCCAGTCGCTTCAGTCCAGTCACCCACCGTCTACATCGACACTTACGAGAGTACGGTGCAGGGAAATCGATCGCAATACATCTCTTCGGTCTACAACTTCAAGGCGATTCCCTTTGCCGCTGCCCCGACTGGGGCTTATCGTTGGCGTCATCCGCAACATGTCAGCGGATGGACGGGCGTCCGTGATGCTACTGAGTTTGCCCCGGATTGTCCCCAGCTCGGGTCGAGCTATTATAGCGAGGACTGCCTGTACCTCAACATCTGGACTCCCGACACGGCCACCCTCAATGATGTGCAGAACAACACGGAAACCGGGATTGGTGTGGTACCCACCTCCTCCAGCAGTAAGCTTCCAGTCTATGTCTGGTTCTACGGGGGCCGCTTTAGCTCGGGATCGAGCAGCCAGGCCCTGTATGACGGGGCCGGCCTAGCCGCCAAGGGGGTCGTGGTCGTGACCGTCAATTATCGACTGGGCGCGCTGGGCTTTTTAGCCCACCCGGAACTCAGTCAGAACTCATCGAGCGGTACCTCAGGCAACTATGGCTTAGTCGACCAGCAGGCGGCGCTGCACTGGACGAACGAGAACATCGCCTCCTTCGGGGGCGATCCAACCCGCATTACTATCGGCGGCCAGTCAGCGGGCGCCGCTGCCGTGCTCGATCACCTCAACAGTCCCCTTGCGGACGGGCTTTTTGAGCAGGTAATTGCCGAGAGCGGAGCCATTTACCCTTCGAATCCCCTGATGGGGAGTGTGGCCGAAGGGTACCGCCATCTCGCCGTTGCGGAGGCGCAGGGGACTGCGTATCTCACCAGCCTCAACCTCTCGGGGATTGCCGCGGCTCGTGCCGCTCCAGTCGAGGTCTTCCTGGCCGGCGGCGACGCGGCTGACATTACCTACGCGAATACCGTCTTTGCCAATAATTCGGTCTATATGGAGCCCCCGCTGTTCCGTCCCGTCCTCGACGGCTACGTTCTGCCGGCTACCTACCAGGAGATGCTGCAACAGGGCAACCATACCATCGCCGCGGTGCTGACCGGCGGAAACCGAGATGAGAACGGTGCGACCCCGAACCCCGGGATGACGGTTGAGAGCTATACGCGCCAGAACCATTACGAGTTCGGCAGCGTCGGCCTGGCAGACGAGTTCTTTCGACTGTATCCGGCAGGTAGCAGTAACAGCAGCGCCGATGCCGCCAGCAATACCTTTTATCAGGACCAGACCCGCATCTCCCTGTGGGAGTGGGCCAACGAGTATCAGGCCGGAGTCGCGCGCAATACCTCGGGCAACAGCACCGTCAGGACCTACGCCTACTACTGGACTCATGCGCCTCCAGGCCAGGACGAGGGCGCGTACCACATGAGTGAAATCAACTATGCTTTCAACAACCTTTATGCAACTGACAAGCCTTGGAAGCCTGAGGACTATGCGATCGCCGACCGGCTGTCCAACTATTGGGTAAACTTTCTCCGCTCTGGGAACCCCAATGGCCCAGAGTTGCCCGACTGGCCGGCCAACGATGCCGCTGAGCCGGTGGTCATGGAAGTAGGCGATGCGTGGGAGCCAGTCTTAGTGGCTTCTGCCGAGAAGCGGTCCTTCATGAACAAGTGGTTCAGCAACTGGCCGGTGTACTGAGCGAGCTGAGCTGATGTCAAGACTCGACTCAGCTGCAATAGTGCATGAGCCAAGCCCCGGACTTGATTGGTTACATAGTTGGCAAGAGAGGATTGAATGTTTTAAATATATTTTTTGTTCGCGGGAAGAGGCCATGACGATGAAGCTCCAACTTCGGCAGAAAAGTGATATTTCAAGATGGACAGATGTACATAGGGATCAAAGCTAGTAGATACCTGTATGTCGCCTAAGGCGAGGGTTCAATGTATAATCTATATATCGTCTAATCACATTATACTACTTTGGGTGTGTCGGCAGGAACATCTTTATCCCGCACCTTTATAGTAACTTAACTAAGCTCACAGGCACACGTAATCGGACAACGAACCGGCGCGACAACGAGCCGCCGCTCTGCCTACTAAAAATGTAACAATCGATTCAAATTAGAGTGATTTGACACTATATAGATAAATATGTATATAAATAAACTAAATATTGATTTTATCTAGATATTTAAACCAATTATAATCTTTTTTTATTATAATTACTATAGTATAATAGCTAGTATTATGTATTTTCTAGTATCTACTTATCATAGTATCAAATACGGCAGTATACACCCTTATCATGGCAAATTAACCGCGATTAAAGGCTTTACAGGTAAGTTATAGTATTCTATCTTAGTGGAACTCTCTTTAAATATTTAAATAGCTTTATTTTTGACTGAATTAAGCAAGATTAAATATTGTATATCTTGGAGATATAAGGCGGTGAGGGTCACCGACGGCTCGTTGTCGCGACGCTTCGTTGTCCGGTTAGGTTAGTCAGCCTCGGTTAGTCTAGCAGACCGGCAGCAACGGCGCGATCTTGAACCAACTAGTTACTATGATCAGTGAACTTTGGTGGTTCCTGTTTGCGACAGACTATATTTGCAACTAAATACCACAAAATAATTGCATTTGAAGTTTTGCAATCTGTTTCGGACCCATCATATTCACCAAAGTTGGAGGAGAGATGAAAGGAACACAATCATCTACAGCCAATGTCATCCGGCGAGCTAAGGTGGGTTTAATCTGAAATTATATAGTAACACGCTGACTGATACACTTAAGGCATGCAATACATGTCGGCGGAAGAAGGTTAAATGTGATGGAAGGCGACCAATCTGTTCACCTTGCCACGCATTCAATCTCTCTTGCGGATATCAAGATGTCATGGACAGCCGGAAACGCGATAGTCGGTAGGTGCTAGGCTCTCCTATCCAGAAGAAGCTACCATGCATCACTGATGACTGATGGGCGTAGGACATATGTTGAAGAGCTAGAGAAGCGAATAGAACGTATGCAGGAGCAATTGGAAAGTATGACTAGATCTGGAATTGGAATCCAGCGGGGTGTGGAGAATACTCGACGATCACGATCAAGTTCGCCGGGCCAATCAGTCGAGAGCACTACTGACTACAGGGAGCCAGAAGACCCGGCAGACGGAGACAACATCCCTAGAATGCCTCAGGTACCACCTGACAAGGGTCTTCATCCTTCCGCCGAGAACGATCAATCTATTGTCATCGACTCACAGGACGGGAAAATGCGCTATTTTGGTAGGTTGCGATATCGTCGTCTGATTTATGTCCAAATCATTGACCATATTCTTTTCGATCTTAGGGGCTTCGTCTGCCTTTTCTGCACTGACCAATGCCAAAGTAAATGGGCTAGAGACCCAGCCACATACCGGAAACTGGCGACACGCAGCTCAAAGAAGTGCTCATCCATGGCAACTTTCAAACTGGATCCCCCATGTTCTTCAAGATGGCCTGGAACGGCGCATTTTCGAACCTCTGCCATGTAAGGACACAACGGTGCAACTAGCCAGAGAGTACTTTGCAACCTTTAACCAGGCAATTCCTCTTTTTGAGGAGGCGTCGTTTATGAGGTCGGTCGACAGACAATACTCATGGAATCCGGATGATAGTGCATCATGGTGGATCTCTCTCAACGTTGCTCTCGCCATATCATATAGAGAAAGGGCGCATGCATCTCCTGGTGCTAGTGACAACTGGAAAAGATCATTGGGTCACGTTAAAAATGCCTTGAACGCTGTCGTCGACGTTTTCCTTCGAAATACTGACATCGCCGCCGTTCAGGGTCTTTTGGGACTGGCGCTTTACTTTCAGGGTACACCTAACCCACAGGCTCTCTTTATGTTTGCAGCTGCAGCAATGCGTCTGGCCCAGTCAATAGGACTGCATAGGGAAAACGCCTCTGGAGCTTCACCCGAGGCGGAGCAAAGGCGAAGAGTGTACTGGATCGCTTTCATACTCGACTCAGACATTTCCATACGGGTGGGCCGCCCGCCGGTCCAGGATATCGAAGACTATGATACACATTTACCGACAGAGAATCCTCCTGATGGCAGGGGCGTATTAACGATTGACGGTACCAGAATAAATTACTTCCGTCTCCTTGCCCAACTAGCTCAGATTCAGCGGCTTGTTATTAGACAGCTTTACACGGTAACTGTTCGTCAGAAGTCGAGTGATGATGTTATTGAGAGAATAAAGTCTTGTGAAGACGCGCTGTTGAGCTGGAAGAAGTCTATACATTCGAAGCTTCAACCCCAGCGCACATTTTCTTGTAAACCAAGTTATTTCCTGCAACATGTTCTTCGATTACATTTCGCATATAATTGCTGTTACTCAAACCTTTATCAGGTATGTGTGTTTCAAGCAAACGCTATCGAGCGGTCAAGGCAGGGAACGGACGAGAATATTGCGCCAATTGTTTCACGCTCACTCGACGCAGCACGTTCTGCATTGGCCCTGCTATCACATGTACATTCGTTCGGTTCTACCTACAAATGGTAGGTACTTGTCGCCTACTTCAAGAGATTTACGCTGACCTTGATTGTTGAAGGAACATAATCTACTTTCCAGCGGCAGCATGTGTCCCTCTTGCCCTAAGGATACTCGCACATCCTACACATTCAGATGCAGGGGACGACCTTTCAATGGTCCAGAATGTTGTCAGGTTCCTCACATCTACTTCTTCCGAAGAGCCTAATACATATGTCGACTTTATATTGGGCATGTGCTCTGACTTGGAGCGTTCTGCTAGGAGAGCCTTCATGACGGCGCAACCTGCCCGCCACCACCACCCAGCAACTATGCAGAATAACGAAAATGACAGGCCTAGTCGATCTGGTCATGGAATAAATCAAAACACAGTTCCCAACTTTTCCGACGCGTTACCGACTTCTTTGGGCAGCACTTCTGCGGCAAATATGGGGAGCACCCATTTTACGAATATGGTGCCGCAGGGCCCCTACTCAGATATTGGTTTTCCGGAATCTTCTAACGAGGTTGATCTGTCGGCTAACTGGCAGTGGTCTCTACCGCCGTTTTGGAACTGGCAGGATCTTGCTTCAGTTGCGCCTTTGTTTTCGGTCGTTCCGGGAGTGGATGTACCAGAGGCCAATATGCCTGATACTTGAGATGTGATTGCTCGACTTGACGGAAAATCATTCCATACTATATGAATATATAACTCTCCATATCCCAAATTATCCTCAAAGCCAATTGATATTTCTATCATGATGGCAGTGCGGGACCGGAGGGGAAGTCCATTTTGGAGTCGACTCCTCAACACCTAATTTTGCAACAGGCTTCAAGAGAGTCTGGCGGCCCCATGGTCCTGGCTCCTCGAATGTCGTCATGAACCTCGAGTCCTCATCTAAATCATGAGGCAACCCTCGTTTCCAGCCATCAATGACTGGGACCAGAACTTCGGAAACGTACTGATCAGGGGTAATCTCCTTGAACCCAAAGCGTGCGATTGTGTCTCGTACCACCTCAGGGGGGTATAATCCTACCTCCTTCTCCAGTGCAATTGCATCAGCAGCAACCAAAGAGCTAGTGATGTGATATGAGCCGCCTTCAACTGCCCGTCTCTTTACCGCAATCATGGCGCCAACCGCACCGACAATGCCCGTTATCATATCAGATACAGGGAGTGGTGGCAATACACTCTTTCCTTCCTCATAGCCTTGTGATCGACCCATTACATATTCGCTTCCAGATGCTGCATCTCCAATTTGCTGCCAACCAGGACGCTCATGGAATGGGCCATCTGGACCATAACAGTTCTCGTCGACGTAGATGATTCCCTTGTTCCTTTTAGCTGCCATCTCTAGCATATTATGAAGGCCCAATCCTTTCCGCTCTAGCGAGCCCATTCGGAACCCTTGGATGAAAATATCAACATCTGCAAGGAGCTCCTGCAGTCGTTCCATGTCCTCCGACTGAGTTATGTCGAGGTCAATTGTTCGCTTTCCCGCATTCAGTGTGAGCTGAAGTACCTATCACCCAGGTTTTCGTTAGTAGGCTTCTTCATGACGTGGGGGTGAGGCAAAACATACGTTAAGGTCCACTAGTCTGCTACAATTCACACGGATCACATCCGCCCCGTAGGATGCCAAGGTAACGCCGATCTGCGGTCCAGCAATGATACGTACCATCTCTAGGACCTTGATCCCAGCAAGTGGCCGCTTGTCAGATAGATCCTTAACGAGAGGGACTGGAGGTGTAGGCTTTGCATATGTCTCGGCGGTCACATTGACCAAGGGGTATCTGGACAGGCGTTTACCGAACTCCGTCTTCCTCCAGCCTTCCGGGGAGTAGCAGATGCTACCACACAGGCCATGGCGCACATTGTGCATCTCAAGCTCATCGGGCGACCACTTGATAATATGCTCTTGGATGTAGTCATAATATTGTTGGGGTGTGCTGAATGTCACATCAGGGTTGATTCCCATTGTCCTGAGAGCAGCGTTTGCGTCGAGTGAGCCATGAAGCTGGTACCACACTCGGGGGTCTTTGGTTTGGTAAATAGCAGTTGCCCGGCTTGCTATCCCCTTACCGAAGCCTTGTTCATAATTCCGCTCGAAGAGTGAACCCAACTTCCCAGACCGTGCCAGAGCAGATATATCCGAGCCATTTATGTACGTGGTGAACACAGACCCGAGCCAGATGCCTGCATGGTCAGTGTTGACTGTTACGCTATTCTCGGTTGCTGGCTTCCCATCGCGAAGTTCAAGAAGCTCATTAGCCACTACTCCCCCCATGGCATGAAGAGCAGCTGATATGACGGGTGATTTGATCGGACCTTGAACCATAGGCTCAGGCCCTCCTTCGAAGTGAACGGTATCCCATAGTGCTTTGTCCTGGGTGAAGCCAGGAGTTCGAGAGGCGAGAAGCTCAAACACCCGACGGGCATCTACCGGTACTGGAAGCACAGTCTTGTCGATGAATGTGCCGGGTCCGTACACCTCCGTCCCGGGAACGGTTTCGTGGGCCAGTGTCATAGTTGAGTAGAGTTATGACGGAGTTATCAACGAGTGGGAACAGGAATATTTGGGAGATTCAGTCTAAAATAGAACAGAGAAGAAAGCACAGCAACAGAAACCCCTTGCGTTAGCTGTCATATTCATATAGGAGACAAAGCATGGTCCCGGACATTCTGGCTCCACGGCCCGCGGGGATTCCTTGTCCGAGGCCCACGGCACAGTGACCTACAAACTGGAAATGATCAACTGATCCATGACGTTGTTATGGGGCTCTGATTGATCGGTGGAGACTTTGTTCACCATACTGCTTCATAAATCGGATACAGTCTGGATACTCATTTCATATCCAGTGAGGGGTCTTGCCACGGGCCACGGGGACCGGAAGGATGAAAGGTAAATCATAGCCTTTTGGGGATACAGATACCACGAAGCAGAGGGATGCTACTGGTCCGTTCGGATCAAAGGGTCCATGCTTAACATCCTTGGCTCAAAGGCTGCTCGTTATTCGACGACGAATTTCTTTGTCCAGTTTCCTGAATATCCGAACGATGGCCGAGGTACGGGAACTTGGTATATAAGGAGTGGTTCATGTATACCAAGAAATGCGGGGAAAGCGTCCATCGATCTTCAGAGATCATCTCAAGTAACTACTACAGGGCTTGACAACTTGTAATCATGTCAACTTCGACGGAGACACGCCCTGTTAGGGTGGCCAACTGCTCTGGCTATCATGGTGGGAAACCCGACAGTATGGACGCGTTTCTTAGAGCTGATGTGGTATGGCAGGCGACCCAGCGTATGAAATGTACCGACAGGCAACCCTGGGAGATGTTGATTTTATAACGGGCGATTATCTGGCGGGTAAAATACACTGCTCTCACTCCGATCGAAACCAAGTTTTTGCTAAGCTCGAGTGTGCAGAAGTCAATCTTGCCAACAATGCCCAGGTATGGCGAGAAGGAAAGCATCCTGGATACGAAGCTACTGCCTGGGAAGGCCTACAACAGACCATCGAAGTAATTGCACAGAAGCGTATTCGAGTGGTTATCAATGGCGGTGCTTTGGACCCTAAAGCTCTTGCGTTGAAGACTCAGGCTCTGGTATGCCGCACTGCTTCTGCATGTTAAACTTTCACGATAATACTGAGATGGCTGGTTATTCGATAGGTCTCCGAAAAGAAGCTCGATCTTCGCGTTGCGTATCTCTCAGGCGATGACATGTATGATCGCGTTGGACCAAACATGCCAGTCACCAAAGAAGAGCTGACCCATCTTGATGCCGGGAACTCGGATGTGGTGCCTTCAGATCTGACGTACGCATTCCTGAACACACAAGATGGGGAGCCAGTTCCAATGGTATCGGCGCATGCGTACTTGGGTGCCCGTGGTATTGTGGATGGCCTGCGTCGAGGCGTCGATATCGTCATCTGTGGCCGCGTTGCAGACGCTAGCCCTGTTATCGCTGCGGCATGGTACTGGCATGACTGGTCGGAGACAGACTATGACAAGCTTGCCGGATCGCTGATTGCTGGTCATCTGATTGAATGTTCGGCTTATGTGACTGGCGCCAACTTTGCTGGGTTTGATAGATACCCTCTGGATGATCTTGTTGCTCCAGGCTTTCCGATCGCCGAGATTGCCGCAGACGGCACCTGTGTTATTACGAAGCACCCAAACACACAGGGTATAGTTAATGCAGACACTGTTTGCAGTCAGTTCTTGTATGAACTACAGGGGACTACCTATCTCAATAGTGACGTGAGTGCCTATATCGCCGATGTTATAGTCACAGACGTGGGGAAAGATAGGTAAGCGCCTCTGATCCGAATATTTGGATTAGGGCATATAGCTGATCATGGCCAAAACCTACACAGGGTGCATGTATCGGGTATTCGAGGATCGCCACCACCCCCGACGACCAAGCTTGCGGTCTTTTACCCAGGAGGATACGAGGCCCAACTTCTGCTGAACGCAACTGGGTATGCTACGGATAAGAAGTGGGATCTTTTCCAGCGGCAAATGCGCCATTTCCTTCCTGAAGAAGTAAAGCAAAGCTTAGAGACCTTGGAGTTTCAAAGGTATGGCTTGGCCTTTACGTGCGCATTCACGGTCTAATATTCGCAGGATTGGAACTCCCGCCGCCAACCCAGCCTTTCAGGCTGAAAGTACTACGTACCTGCGCGTATTTGTTGCATCCCGATCAGAGGGCGCTGTTCTTGCTGTGGCAAGGGCTCTGAAAGATATCTCTCTCAAGCATTTCTCAGGTACGTCACCCAATGTAGTTCACTCAGTTCAATATAAACATAGTTATATAAACTGCAGTCATCTGACGGGAAGTGTGAATACGTAGGATTTCATACATCACTGGATACCCGAACAGCTATCCCCTTACCATTCCTCGCCTACTACCCAGCCCTGGTCAAACAATCCGAGATCCAGGAAAAAATAAACCTGGTCGACGCGTCGAACTGCATCAGCTCATACGATACCGGCCATCCCCCACAGTATCAAGATCTCACACCCCGGGAGAACTACGACCCAGCAGATCCACAAATATTCACAAGTCCCACTAAGAAACTTCGCTTGGGAGACATCGCTCTTGGTCGATCAGGCGATAAGGGTGGGAATCTCAACTGTGGTCTTTTCGTTGCGAATCCAAACCACTGGCTCTGGCTTCGATCATATTTCACCAGAGATCGAATGCGAGAGCTCATAGGCGGGGATTGGAACGATAGCTTCTTCATCGAGCGCGTCGAGTTCCCGAATATCATGGCTGTGCACTTTGTCATCTATGGAATTTTGGGACGTGGCGTGAGCAGCTCGAGTCGGCTCGATGGGTTTGGAAAGGGGTTTGTTGATTACATCCGTGATAAGATGGTGGATGTTCCTGTGGAGATTCTGGGATGATGTACTCGTATGGGCATACGTTATTCCTTTGTGAAATTCCCTTTATTAAATCAATTAATGGTATATGTTATTCGTACTTGGGCTGGAACCGACGAAGTCATTCACCACAACAGTAGTCATTTGGGATCACATTGGGCTAGTTCGCTTTTGGGGTTCATTTCTCTGGTTCTGGAGCTTGCTCTGTAGACTGTTTTTATATGGGGGAAGGAGATAAGAGCTCGGAGTCCATACATTAAGGGAGTTTTTGAGGTGGGAAGAAGGAATTGTGTGGGTTCTGCGGCTGGAATAGATGTCTAGCGACTAAGTTATGGCTGATTGATTTTCAGTCTGTTCTTCCCTTCAAGCTTGGACTCAACATCCAGGATTTTCTCAGTTGAAGAGAGTTCGCTGATAATCATCTTATACATCTACCACTCAAACACCACCTTCCCCTTACCCGACTCATACTTCACCTCCCACCCATACCTCCCCTTCGTCAACCCACCAGTCTGCAACCGAACTGCCTTCGCCCCAGCCGCAGTAGTAACAGAATACCCCACCGCAGCCCTTGTAGCAGGCACTCCCTCGGAGCCATCAGCCCGATCAACCAAATCAACCTCCACCCTGCTCTCACCATACAAAACCCTCACCTCCGAAATCGCACCCGCATCAATCGAAACATCCAGTCCCAGATCCGCCAGATACACCCTCCTCCGAACAGTATCGCGTGGCTGCACAACAACAGTACCGTTCCCCCCAGCAGCCGCAACATTTCCTCCAAAACTCACCCATCCGAATTCAGGATGCTTCAGCAAAACCGTCACAGCACCGAGTACCTGACCAAGGAATCCGGGTCCATAGTCGCCTGTGTAGTCGTCCCAGGCTAATGTCTCCGGGAAAGAGTGGAAAGACATGGATCCGAAGCCGTCGTCTGCGACGTTGGTCGTTGGGCCCTGGTTACCTCCATAGCCGATGCGGAGGTCGTAAAGACTTGATTGGCTTGTGGGGTTGGTGAGGGATCGGTAGTTATCGAGCATGGGGAGCGCGTTGAGGCTTGAGCCGTAGTGGTGGATTTGGCGTTCGATGCGGGAGAGTTTTCCTGCTGTTCTGTGATAATGTTAGGGTACTAATGTTGAATTGGGATTGGTACGAGAGGAGTCTGGGAACGAGGAAGGACATACGTGAAGTCCCAGTACCGCCGAGCGTTGCCGTTCCATCCCCAGTGGGCTACGGTGGGCATGTATCCTCTGATGGAGGCGATGGTCTTTTGTGCCGTGGATCTGTAGTTGAAGTATCTAAGGGTAGGTGTTAGTTAATTGTTGGAGAGGAATAGTTGGTTCGGACATACTTGGACCATAAGTATACACCCTCCTGTCCTGTGCAATCCCAGGCTTGCTCGCTGCCGAAAGGGTCTTCTTGTGTGGACCATGCTTTGGCACGACTGCGCATGATATCTTCCATTTTTGTTGCTTCGGAGGTGTAGTTCTCGGCTTTGAGATCGTCTAGCAGATACATCCACATCGTTTCTCCCATTAACCCAAGGTCACCATAATATGTATTCTGGCTTCCATCTGGTTGCGACCCGAATGTGAATAGAACACTTTTTGCACCTATTAGCATGCTTTCAATGCCTTGCGACGGAGACTTACGTTTTGTATGCCTGCAACAAGTACCACTGCGGGGGCCGTAGAGTCAATACACTCGGGGCGATCCGACCAGCGCGGTATAAACCCCAATAAAGACATGATACATGAACGTAGTCATACGCTCTGTCAATCAGGTAAGCGGCTTCCTTATCCCAACTCCCAGCCCAATAGATATCAGGATCATAATTGTAATCTGGCATGACGTCTGGATCGTAAAAGAACAAGCTCTTCCGGACACCGTACTCGGTAGATCCGTTGGTTATTTGTAATCGGGACCAAACGGTCTCATTGACGAACTGTTCCAGCTTGGTAACTTCAGATGCAACAGGCTGAATTGTCTGCTTCATTGCAGCGACAACAAAGGATCCGGCACCTCCTTCGTCGCTTAGACCTGCTATCCATACCCGGTTATCCTGGAGTACTGGACCGTTCACAGATCGGTCGTGGGTGATGATGGAAGGAGCGCGCCCGAATGGATCCGAAGTATTCGTATACCACTGGTTTTCTTCCAGAAAACGGCCAGCATTGGAGAGAGTACTGGGTCCAGCATCTGTGATGTAGTAATGCAAAGCATGCTTTAAGCCCGTGTCGTATACAATCTCAACTCTGCATCTGCCGAAAGTGTCCTTGTTCGGTACTAACTTATATCCAATCCAGGTACTGCTCCTCAGGTCCAAAGATGTGGCCGAGATACAACCATCCGGGGAAGCATCCACGGAGTCAGGTTTAAGCGTCGTGTTGACAAATAATCGCCCTTCAAGGTCCTGAGTCAACACATATCCCGGAATCCCAACAGCAACCGGATGCCCGAGCGAAGAAACAGTAGGCTCGATTTCATCGACGGTTGAAACGGCCGTAAAACGCAGACCGAAAGAGATCGATTCGCCTGGCGACAAGGTCAACGAGGTTGGCGGATTCCAAGGCTCAACGCCCTTCCATTCTTGTTCTGCATAAGCTTTGGAGTAAACCTGCCACTCATAGTTGCCCTCGAACACTTGACTCTGATAAGCGAGAGAGGTATCAGTGTCCTCTGTGAGAAACCTCCATGCTTCAAATTTTGTATCGAGATTTAGAGGAGTAATGACGAGGTGCGGACCCTGTCCGAGCAGCCTAGTGACCTGCGCATAACCGGCTTGGAGGCCGATGAAAGGATCCACCAGGACACACTTCTCTCTTGTTTCAACTGCTGTCCGGTCCGTGAATATGCTGTTGAACTCGATAGGAAAGCCAAGGCTGCCGATCTCGATGGGTTGAGAGTTTCCATTCCTCAGGGTGAAGTTGACGGCCAAGTCTCCTTGGTACTCGATCCAGTTCCGGGTGATGAACAAACGGTCATTGGTAACGTCCCCGATCGTCTGGTCAAGATCGGACGATAGTATGGCTTTTGAAGAATTGCCCTTAGTAAGAGAAACACGATCCTTCACAGTGTCTGCATCGATCCACGAGTTGGCATTGCCAACTCGGTAGCGTAGAGTCAGGTCCCCAGTGTGGCAGTGACCATTGCCGCTGCGATTGGCGAAGACATCGTAGGGGGAGAAGTCGAAGGATGGATCCAACGATGATGTGAGTGATTTTAGTACTCCAGAGTCATCATCAAGAACGCCAGTGAAATGCTTGGTGGAGAAAGTTGTGGCATGTGTGAAGGGTAATAACAATGGAAGGATGCACAACAGGAGGTTCATTTTGAAGATTACCTACTGTAGGGCTTGGTATTTCGATTTATTGTTAACCCATCTCCTTTTATTCACGCCAGCCTGCGCTCTACACCACTCCACAAATTAATGTTACATCCGTGCTGCAGGGATCGGCATCTTTCCCGGAATGAAGTCTGGATTTAACCGGGAATTGTCTGATTCTTGTCCAGGTGCGGAAGCTCATCGGAGAATTTCCTAAATAGGCTACAATCTTGCATCTATCTGACACCTACTATAGCCTGGGATTACTGCAAGAGGTATTAGCCTTAATGTGCCAAGCATTTGCACATCTTGTTTCCTATTGTCTTCCTCGGATGTAGCTCCGACAGTCATTGGCTATCAAGATTTACTTAGTTAATATGAAAGAGGCCAACCGTTCGGGAAGCTTTCTTGATCGAAATGCATGTACAATTTTCCATGCCTGCTCGGTGAATTTTGATACATCATAGCCAGGCTACCGTATACGTTCAAGGCAGCATAGCTAGAAACGGATCTCCCGAGTTCCATGGTCTTGAAGCACAGTCGGCGATGAAAGAGGATTCCCAGGGGCCCTCGCGATGCGGCCAGGAGCGAAGGACTTCCAATGCACGCGCACGTATATCGGGCTTGCGGCATCTTATCGCAACGAAGGAGAGTGGGAGGATGACGCCCATGTCAAGACAGACACTAGGACGGTCAGCAAAGCTAGCGATGATAGATTCTGCAAGAGACAGTGCGTGCTCGAAAGAGGAACTATAGAAGTCTAAAGTATCGTGTTCGTTGGCGATGAGGGAGACATGTACGACAATGGAAAGTACTTGTTGGTGCAACTGCATGGTGTGCAGGCTTCGTTGAGCATTGTGGCTGAGTTGATGGAAGGAAGATAGGCGGAAGGACTCAAGTGCGATGGAGAATCGGTTCAGTCGGGAGGAGAGCTCGAATTGTATGTCGGATAGTTGACTGTAGTTGAGACTGATGTGTTCCTCGGAGAGGCGGGAGGTGAATAAATGAAATTGAAAAATCTCGCCCATCAAGGGCTCAAACGTCAGACGCGCATCGAGAAGGCTGTGAAAAACCTTATCGTCGAGAACTGGGGTCCCAGGGGTGGAGCTCTTCGGAGATTGTGGTTGTGTTGGCTCTTCAATGCCAAAATAAGTAGATTGGACTTTCAGGGAGGCAAGTGATTCGCCTAGACATTGCCCAAAGACGGAGCTGAATGCGGCAGTTGCTGCCGTCAAGGTCTGGTCATCTTCCAGTATTCGGAGCCCGTTCTTCAAGTGTATGGTGGCAGTGTCATACAGTCCGCGCATCCATTCTACCATGATGAATAGCACACAACATACTAGCATGATATCGCGGAACCCGGGATCCTGGGAAGCAGAGCGTGAGTTCAGCCACCTGTACGCTCTCGCACATTGGTCGAGTGCAAATCGTTGCAGAGTATTATCCATATCATCCTTATCAACAGGTATACCTCTGGCTTCATAATCTGCATAGACAGCACTAAACGCGACAAGCGCATGAAAGGCAGCCGGCTCGACCTGGCTAAGTTGGAGGACAAGCCGTTGCCACAGAACGCAGTCAAAATAGGCGACTATGGATGGTCCAATTCGGTTCTGAAAGAATGAGATACAACGTTGCTCATCGGAAGTCAACTTCCACCTAAAGCGACGAGCAATATCAGGTGCTAACTCGGTCAATGTGGCAGTAGTTCGTCGGTTGGGTAGTCGCTCTGCGTCATATCCATCACACTTTCTGCCCGTGGATGTGCAGCGCTGGCACATGCCTGGAGTTTCATCACATTTTACATGGCGCAATCTGAAGTAAATCAGATGATGACTGATCTGGAACGTTGAGGGTCCACTTACCGACAGGTTCGACAACCCGTCGTGCTCTTTTTGCTGGATCTCCTCCTTCGACAGTTCTTCTCCATGGCTAATCGGTATTTTCGTTAGGCTGTGGGATGGGTGTTATAGTTTGTGGGTGCAACAGATGTTTAAAGGACGGGGGCAGAAGGCGCTAGTGATTTGCGCTAGACGCCGGCAACGCATTTGGGGGCATCAATTTATCAGGGAAGCCTGTATGATCACAATTGTGGCATGCACAAAAGCACAGAATTTTCGCGGAAGGTCGATCAGTGAGCCCCTCTCTTAGCCTTCGCAGTTACATTATCGCGCTGCTCGACCATGTCCTATCACATCCAGCAATTGCAATGTTGTCGCTTGGCCCCGATCCTGGACAGCTTGGCTTAATAATGCGCTAGCCCGTTCATCATTTAGTTTCTTCCGTTGGTCATTGTCCAGGCCTCCAAGTCAGATCTTCATAGCCATTGTCCATGGACGTCTGATATTGTTTGCGTCGACCCCATAACCATCTTTCAAGATAACGAGAAGGAATATATACCCACTCAGCTTGCCTACTATGGTGATGATGGGCTTGCCACGCAGTCGGATTCCTTCGAACTCGGACCTGAATAGTTGATCCTGCTCTTCCTCCCAATTTCTTCTTTATACAGAAGATGGAAATTAGGTTCATGTAGCCTCAAATAATCACTTCCGCCAAGAAGATGCTCAGTCTCATCACAAGCGTTATGGTGAATCGAGACCCACGGCAAATCATCGGGAAGCCCGCCCCGCACAAAGATACTCCACCAGAGCCAGACTGAGTGACAATATTGTTTGGAGCTCCTGATTGCGACAGGGGTTACGAGTAGTAGCGAGCATTATCTCGTCAATAACTTGGTGAATTGCAATGATAGAGACAAATAGAGAAGGGGAAGCAAGCGTAGCAAATACACGGCTTCTCGGTTAGTGGAAATCCAGCCAGCATTAAGGGAGCAAGCCCGAGCTAGCGTAGGGGAACCCCTGCTAATTGCCGCGGAGAAAGTCAAGGGAGTGGCTGCAGAACAATGCAACTCGATAGACCCATACAAACAAGACTCTGCATCTTGAGATATAGAATGAAAATCGTAAAACAGACGTATTTTCCACCTTACAAAAGCCTCAAAAATTCGCAGTACTTGCTCACCGCAACATCAACCGAATCTCAATGTCCCGCGGATAAGCAGAAATCAAGTTTGTACCCAATTCCCTGCTAAAATCTGACCGGCAAGTGCGGGCACAGAGGTCTGAGAGGTGGTGATCAGCGATAGAATATACGGCAGAATACTACCCCGCCACAATCGCAATTACGGAAATAATCCTAGAATCTCCTTTCCTCGTGACTTCAAATTCCTTGAAATAACATAATGGCTTCTCCAAACCCCAAAACCAAAACAATCCCCCTACCTGGCCACTTCCCCAACACCACCTCCGACGCCCAGCGCGTTTTCGATGTTCTCCAACTTGGAGGCATCGCCATCATCCCCACAGAAATCGGCTACGGCCTCCTAGCCTCGTCCGTCGAGGCCATCGAGCGAGCTTTCTCCGCGAAACGACGTCAGCCAGGACACACCCATGGTCTAATCGGATCCTACGAGCTGCATCATGAACTACACGTTCTCGAACCCGAGAGGTTCGAAATGACGCGCGTTCTCACTCATGACCTCGATATGGGCTTAGGCATCGTGGCTCCTTATAAAGCGGACCATCCCATTCTGGCCAAATTTACACCGAAAACGCTAGCCAACGTGGTCAAGGATGACACGATAGCAATGTTCGTGGGTGGGGGCTCGCTGTTACGGGAGATTTGTAGGCTGAACTATGAGGCTGGGCAGGTGATGGTCGGATCTAGTGCGAATCTAAGTGGGAGAGGGCAGAAGTTCCTCGTTGAGGATATTGAGGAGGAGATTATAGAGGTCGCGGATTTGATTGTTGATTATGGGTTGCAGAGGTATCATGTTTATGGGAGGGCGTCGATTGTGATGGATTTTGGGGAGATGAAGGTTCTTCGTATGGGGTCGTGCTATGAGCTTTTTAGGGAGAGGATGGGTAGGTTCTGGGGGGTGGAGTTGCCAGAAGATCCAGTGTATAAGACTTAAGTGGGTTGATGGGGGGGGGGTTTTGATTTTGGCGTGTATATAGACGAGGGGATAGTCTGATACAATGAATGGATTAGAACCACATCAACTAACGGAAGTTGATAATGATGTTTATCTAGCCCAGTTGCAATCACCAACCTGAGATGCAAGCCCATTGACAGAACATGAAAGGTATGCAATGGTACTTAGCAGTCTCCGATAACTCCGAGACATCAAACCGACTCACGCAAACGAACCAGTAGCCTTCCTCCAGCGGGTGAAGCAGTAAAAGTATCATACATTCGCATATCTTCCTCGCCCATGCTACCATCGACTTCCCCATCGAACCGACGGAAGAAAGCGGCAGTTAATTTGTTGAGCTCCATTTGCGCCAAGCTGTTCTCATAAGTACGTATTAGAGTAAACGGGGATTCCTAGAGTCACTCACTTGAGACCTACGCATTTTCTGGGGCCAAGGGAGAAGGGGGCCAAAGCCTCCTTCCGCAGGGCCTCATTTTCCTTCTCGAGCCAGCGCTCCGGTCGGAAGTCTTGAGCGTCAGGGAAAGCTTTCTCGTCGAAATGAATTGTTCGATTTTGTGCGCCTACAACAGTCTGCTGTATGTGAGTACTGTGATGCGGAGATGCATGCTAGGTGAAACTGACCCCTTTGGAGATTGGCACACCCGCAATGGTTGTGTCTCTAACTGCAGTTCGAGGTAGGATAGCAATAGCAGCGGGGTAGCGACGGAAGGCTTCTGAAATAACGGCTTGAAGATATGGCAGAGCGGAGCACGTCTGGATGCGATTTAGCGAACAGAATCTGCAGTCCTTCAATACAAACAATGCCTACCCGATGGTCTGGCACAATGGAAGGATCTGGGAACGCTTCTCTCAATTCAGCCTTAAGCCGGGCCACAACAGCTGGCTTGCGCAGACAAGCCCAGAGAAGAAATGCAAATGTATTAGCGGTGGTACCGCTTCCTGCGAACCTGAAATAAACGTCATTGAAAGTCACTTTGCGGTATCGTGATGAACATACATCCCGCCCATGCATTCCTCTGCCAACTCCGAGTTGGTCAAGGGCCTTCCGAGAAAGGCATCCTCGTCGCCATTCAATGCCGCTCGTAAAAATGGTGTCTTTGTGCCCCTTTCACGGCTTCTTTGGATTAGATTTACAGAGTACTGTCATCTTCAGCTCTTGTTGAAGAAATCAGCACAACTTCCGGTGAGCTTTACTTACGTTCTTCCATGCTTGGACCTTTCTAAAATAGTCTCCCACATAGCCCGGAACATAGACACCCCATCGATCTAGTTGCGGGAAAAACTCTTTCTTCATGAAAGTCAGCATGTGGTACCGGAAACCAATTTTCCAAACTTACATAGATATAGGTCGGCTTCCAAGCTTGAAGATATTCCATCACTTCGTGGCTTCTACCAGAGGTAACTTGGCCTGGATCATCATCAAACATGAGGTGATCTGTGCCGCAATATATCAGTCAAGTGTGATGAACAAAGCCAGGGTAATCTGTACTTACACACTACATCAAAGGCAAGCCAATGGAGCCAGGGATAAACATCAATTGGACCATCAACCAACCGTGCCTTCCATTGCTTGAGAACCATATCAATTTTATTGGAGATATGGGGCTCAAACTCTAGCATGGCTGCCTGAGAATAACCCCGCGCGAAGAGCTTGCGTCGCTGCCGGTGTGCCTGCACATCCCTTGGTACAATTAGTACATGGCTTGTATACATGCTGTCGGACCTACCGAGTGGAGAAAAGGTGGTTCTCATGGAAAATAGTCTTCGCCCGCTGAATATCATATTAAGCTTCTCTTACATGCATATATTGAGTTTCAAGGGGTCTTACATAAAAGGTTTCCTCTTTTACCGATGCATCCGATGTATATATGGCTCGCGCGGCGGCGGGTTCTGCGAACGACAACTCATTTGGCCCAATACGTACCACAGGCCCATACTTCAGATGGGCTTCGTGGATTCGGTCAGACTTTCGGCCAGTCCGATTGCCAATCCTACTCCATAGTTTCGAGACTTTTGCCAGTGGTGGTCCGGGGAAGCTGCGGAGGGGATGGAAGAAGAGATTGTAGCATGTGAGAGCAATAAGGTAGCCAGGAACGGAGAGAGCGAGTACCAGGTACAACATCTTGTTAGAGCTGATGTGGCTTAATCCCCTACCACACTTTGCAAGTATGCTGTGTTGCCAAATATGGTGAAGGTCCTACTACTTTATATTGTGGACGGATAGCTCGGCATACCGCCCTTCGCTTCCCCAACTGACCCATTAACTCCGAGAACTAATAATATGCCACTGCACGATTTTGTTCTTGATCGACCATAGCATGGCTGGGTATGAGAGTGGGGTAGTCTACGCCAATTAAAGATAGGTGGCATGGAGTTGAGACGCCTGACGATGCTTACCCCGCTCGTTAATAAAACCAATCGCGCTGGACTGATTCGTATACAGGGTCCTGCACTTCCCGAATAGCCGCCAGTACGCCACCAGTACATGTCGCGATAGTGTATATCCCCGAGAGAGAAGATCACCTTGAAAACTATTATCCGGTGACCGTCGTGTGTATGCTTGTCACTTGTTATATTAAGGATGGCGAGAGCCACCCTTCTGACGGTACGAGTATGAGTGTCCACCTCAAAATTCTGTCTTTAGAATTATATTATATGAAGCTATCATCAGGGATACGACATAGCCCAGCAACGATCCAATATATTGCAGAAAGCTGAAACTCTCTGGGACTCTGCGGTCATACGGGCGGGGACATCATTCCGTGGCCAGTCAGCAAGGCTTCCCTTGGTACACTATTGTGTAGCTTTTCATGTACCATTTTGTTCCAGGGGTACTATTCTGCCTAACTGATTGAAGGTTTGTTTACATAAGTACACCGAATAACATAGAGTTTCAGCTGTCAGGATATCGGATAAGACCAGAGACAAGTTGGACAAGGTAACACAACGTCATGATGACTGAAGAGACGACAATATATATGAGTAACTATATAGGTAGGTGTGGGCTCCATCCTGTCAACTTTCGTCTCTCAACTTCATAACTAACATTTATAACAATCTGTAGTGAAGGTTTAGCACTGTATCGTATACTAACAATCATGTCTGCGACAGATGGCCAACCACCCTTCGTTTCGACAACCCAAACGCCAGAAGAAAAGGCACGTATCTAATCCAATACTGATCCATTATCCTCCCAGACTAAATTCAATTACTTATATGTAGATTAACATCGATGTCGCGAAGCAATACATGTCACTTGCCTACTCGCCAACCCACAACAAAGGTGCCGAGTCCGTCCGCCACCTGTGCACCCCGGACAGCTGGTTTTGGAGTCCCTCTACCTTTCCAGGATGTCTCACACCCATGGACTATGCCGATTCGCATGCCCAAGTCATGGCGTCTGTCAATGATCTGCATATAGTTCGTTATGACCAGGAATGGGCAAAGGACGGACATGTGCTACTGCGATATACAGCCGAAGGATCGCATGCGGGAAAGCCGTATAAGGGGATTGAGAAGTCGGATCCACCCCGGAAAGCGAGATGGAGCGCTGCTGCTATCTTTGAGATCCAAGATGGCAAAATTAAGAGCTTCACGAAGGATTGGGATCAGAAGGTGATGCAGGTATGTTGCTGGCCATTATGTGTGGTATGCCGTTGTGGGGCAGATAGCTGATAAGACGGATGATGCAGATCCAGCTTGGGTGGGCGCCGGTGCAAGAATCGGATGATCCGAGGTGGAACCGAGCAATGTTGGCCGAACCGGAGAAAGCGAGGAACGCAAAATAATATTAATGTTTCATGGTGGATTATTGGGTTGCGGATTTGTCTGTCTTGCGTGTCGGTCAAAAATCCGTTTGTGAATTTCTGAGGCTTGGTCTTCTATGCTTTGTACGAACAAATTGGGTATGAAGGGAATAATCAGGCGAGGCTTTTAGTACTTTCGCGGATCCTCACCATATGTGGGAATTGCATGGAGTAGACAAATCAGCATCCTTATCGCAAGCATCCAGTCCACAGCAATCTATTATTGGGGCCATAGTTGACACCTGAGGCATAGTGACCAACATTATCTCCAACGCGCCTTCCTCTCCTGGGAATCCACAGCACTGGCGGTGAGGGTAGGTGAGCTATGACGTGCCGCACTCGGGGCATCCTCTGGCCCCCCTCTGTTTTCTCCGTCAACAAACCTCCAAAACAGTCCATCTCTACCACGGTACCCCTACGAATCTCCCCAATTCACGCGTTCGGAGGTCGAACATCCTAATAGCCATGTTTCTCAACACTGGCCTCTCGCGAAAATTCCTCAAACCATATGTCGCCGAGTTCCTCGGAACGGCTCTCCTGATCGTCATCGGCGATGGCGTCGTCGCTCAGTGTCTCCTTTCCGACTACCAGTACGGCACTTGGCTATCGATCAACATCGCCTGGGCTGCAGCTGTCTGCATCTCAGGTTACCTTTCCGACCCCGGTCCAACCATCAACCCAGCTGTGACTATCTGCATGGCTCTTGTCCGTCCCACTCCCGGACAATGGCGTAAGCTTCCCGGCAAGCTCTTTGCTCAATTCCTTGGTGGATTTGTTGGTGCTGCCATTGTGTATATCAACTACCGCTCCGCCATCAAAGACTGGGATCCCGAGTTCACCATTCCTGGCGGCTCAATCCTGAGCCCTCGTGGACACCATTCTGCCGGTATCTTCTCAACTTATCCTGCTGCATTCTTCGAATCGAACTGGGAGGCCGCATTCTCGGAGTTGCTCGGGTCTGCTGTTCTGATGTTTGGCATCTTGAGCATCTCGGATCCGGTCAATGCCGTCAGATTCCATTCGCCTCAGGTGACGGTATTCTTCTTGCTCACTGCTATTGGAGCTGCGTTGGGCTGGCAGACTGGCTATGTAGGTTCCTCCGATAATTGAGTTCAGTGATCGAAACTAAATCTACAGGCTATCAACCCCGCGAGAGATTTCGGTCCCAGACTGTTCTCTGCTTTCATCTATGGCAGGGAGGTTTTTACCGCGGCCAACTATTACTTCGTTGTGCCCATCTTTGCCCCCATTGTAGGTTGTATCGTCGGAGCTGCCACTTACGACACATTCCTCTATGAGGGAGACGGGTCGCGCATCACCGATGCTCTGGACAATGTCGAGGATCGCGACGGTGCTCTGCGGCTGCACTAAGCTACATCACTAGCGATGGCTGATATGATTTACTGAAAGACGATACTGGCTGGAATAGAGGATCTTGATTCGACCACTTTCCTCTACAAAACGGCTGATGAATATATGTACAACGACACAAGGACGGGTTTTACGGACAATTGTAGCTCTGGACTGTTTGACACGAATATGAGGATGACGATGGCGGTAGATGTACGATGGTATACAGTATATACTTTTCCGCAGTCTTACTCGATGGATGTTTGCGTTTCATTCTTAGCAATTTATGCCAGGTTGGCTATGGTACTAGCCAATGCGATGTGACGGAGAGTTCAGCGAACCACAAACTGCCATGGAGGAGTGTTAACAGACTTCATGCCAGCAGTTTGATTCTCATGTCCCTCATACTGATGCAACGTAAGAAGTTGCGTTACATCCATCAGCTTGGTTCAATTTCACACTACCACGCTAGGTCCAACCAGCAATGGCTTATGTTCGCAAGTATCGGCCAGCCACGTAAATCCGTTCAGTACTATGTCTATGACTGATTGAAGGTACTCTTGCAATACTCCATTGCAATTGTTCCACAGCCGTCGCAATCGCAACAGCCTGTGGTGCGAAGGACTGATGATAAAGTTGTGTCTTTCCTACCAAGCTCGCCTTCGCCATCGACCCCGCCCATCATGACCAGCTTTCTACCATCTGCACAGCTGACATGGAAGCATGTCATTGGATAGGATAGCAGGGACCTCTCGGCTGATCGGAGCTTTGGCCACCATCAGCATCTGCAGCTCGGAACATGCTGGCTGTACGGGGTACCACTCTCAGATGAGCAATTCAAAGCTGCGGTTAAACTTCACTCGGGGTACCTTAGTGGTGGGGACCTTACTATTTAGAAATACTTATAGCCGCGCAAGAATGCCACAATTGCTACAGTTTTGGACACACTGTTCTTGGCGATCCCTAGATTATCTGTATAAATTAGCAATAGAATTGGAATTCTTTGGTAAGGTTGGTATCAATGAGGGTGTAGGGGAATTCGAAATGTGGTGAATGGTGATAAACGCGATCCGGAGCCGGAGCTGGTGCGGAGACATTCTAATTAGCCAGGAGTATCTCAGAACATCACCTCTCATCCCAGGAGCAAAAGAAGTGGGCGTCCTGAACATTCCACGTACCGGTCCTCTCAACCATCCCAAAAGCTGGTCCACCACATCGTGGGGTGTGAGTGGCAGACGATGCGCGACCGGTGGGTGACGAACCCACCGAGAATTTCTCCGCACGAGCGTCGATGAATGAGATGAAGCAGCGACTGCCCCGCGGTGCCCATCAATCGAGGGGCAGATCAGCCAATTTCTTGTGCCCCCTCTGACCTCTCGAGCTCCTGATAAGGACATGACAGCTCTTTTCTCTCACCAAAATTCCGAACATACCAGAAAACACCTAAAACACCAGCATAATGGCCAAATCCACCTCCCAGATTCACCGCGCCTGGTGGAAGGAATGCTCCGTCTATCAGATCTGGCCTGCTTCCTACAAGGATTCCAACGATGATGGTATCGGTGACATTCCGGGCATTATCTCGAAGCTGGATTATATCAAGAATATAGGCGTGGATATTGTTTGGTTGTGTCCTTCCTATAAGTCGCCTCAGGTGGATATGGGCTATGATATTGCCGATTACTATAGCATTGCGGATGAGTACGGCACGGTCGCGGATGTCGAAAAGCTCATCCAGGGGTGCCACGAGCGGGGTATGAAGCTTCTTATGGACCTTGTGGTCAACCACACTAGTGATCAGAATGAGTGGTTCAAACAGTCGCGCAGCTCAAAGGACAATGAGTATCGCAACTGGTATGTTTGGAAGCCGGCCAGGTATGATGAGCAGGGTAACCGGCACCCGCCTAACAACTGGGTGTCGCATTTTCAGGGTGAGTTTCTTGCTTTGATTTGAAGTCATTCAATTTTTTTTTGAGTAAGCTTTCTGACCCTGGCTGTAGGTAGTGCCTGGGAATGGGACGAGCACACGGGTGAATACTACCTTCACCTCTACGCGACAGAACAGCCCGACCTCAACTGGGAGCATCCGCCCGTCCGCAAGGCGGTTCACGATATCATGCGTTTCTGGCTAGACAAGGGCGCGGATGGATTCCGCATGGATGTCATCAATTTCATCAGCAAAGACCAACGGTTCCCGGATGCTCCTGTGAAGGACCCTCGAACCCCGTGGCAGTGGGGAGACAAGTACTACGCCAATGGACCGAGATTACATGAATATCTCCAAGACCTGGGGAAGATTCTGAAGGAGTACGATGCCTTCAGTGTTGGTGAGATGCCCTTCGTCAGAGACACCGAGGAGGTGCTCCGCGCTGTGCGCTACGATCGGAACGAGATCAACATGATTTTCAACTTCGAGCATGTGGACATTGACCACGGAACATACGACAAATTCGAGCCTGGAAGCTGGAAGCTCACAGACCTGAAGGCGTTCTTTGAGACGTGGCAAAAGTTCATGTACAACAATGATGGGTGGAATGCTCTTTACTGGGAGAACCACGATCAGCCGCGGTCGATTGATCGCTATGCACAAGCAAAGGAGGAGTTCCGCACAGAGGCAGGTAAAATGCTGGCGACGGTTCTTGCGCTGCAGTCTGGTACGCCGTTCGTGTACCAGGGTCAGGAAATTGGAATGAGAAATGTTCCCGTTGAATGGGACATGAACGAGTACAAGGACATTGACTGTCTCAACCACTGGCATCGGTAGGCACATGTCCCTACACGTCTGGATAGGTCGCTCACTAATTGCTCTTTTAGCCTTCTCAAGTACAGGCCCGATGATATCGAAGCCCAGAAGAGCGCCCGTCAGGAATACCAAAAGAAATCCCGAGACAACGGCCGCACACCGGTGCAGTGGTCAAGTGCACCAAACGGTGGGTTCACCGGTCCCAACGCAAAGCCTTGGATGTCCGTCAACCCGGACTATGTGCGCTTCAATGCTGAAGCGCAGGTCAATGACCTGAACTCGATCTACCATTACTGGGCTGCTGTTCTTGGATTGCGCAAGAAATACCTCGACATCTTTGTCTATGGGGACTACGACTTGGTCGATAAGGATAGTCAGGAGATCTTCGCGTATGCTCGTCAATATGAGAACCAGAAGGCGCTGGTTCTCACTAACTGGACTGAGAAGACATTGGAGTGGGATGCTACTGCCAACGGCGTGAAGGGCGTCAAGGATGTGCTATTGAACTCGTATGAAAGCGCTGAAGCAGCGAAGGGGCGGTTCTCGGGACAGAAGTGGTCTCTACGCCCGTATGAAGCAGTTGTTTTGTTGGTGGAGGCTTAATTGTTAGTACATATTTTATGATATACTAGTAGATGCGTGCTCCTGGTGGATATATAGTGCAACCCTGGACATGATCACAATGCCATGAACATGATTCTTCAATACAGAGGAGTCAAGTATGTTTTAGTTCGTAGTATGGAGCTTTACTCATGACTACGATAGAGGTTAAATGCGAGCTGAATTACCAAATATGAACCAGGTAATGCATATAATGGAAATTGAAATAGCATCAAGTCCATACTACCCCGTTACTATCAATAAAGTCTCCGACAAGTGCGTGTACTACGTAGCTACCATCACACGAATTCCTTGCCTCTCCCGATGCTTCCTTTTGTTGGAAATGCGAAGAAGCACTACCTATGTCTAGTGTGACTAAAAATCTGTGTAAATATCTTGAATCAACAATCTCACTGCAGAAGCTATCCATTACATCCGTTGCATGCGCTTGATACCCAAACAATGACCACCTGATATCTATTCACACACGGCATTCAATCCATGCATCAACAGCCTTCACTGACATGGCCGTGTTACTCTTCACTGTAGTGCACCCCGCGTCTTAAAGCACCCACTCTATATCCATGTATTCACATCAACAATTATATTCAAAAACCATGGCTTGCCCAGCATTTTCATTGCTCCCATTCTTTCCCTCATCAACCTTCTTTCCTCCCTCCTGATACCATTGTTACTTTCACCATAACCATACTTTACCCTAACCTACCATCTACATCCAATATGAACCTAACCCTCATCCTGGCCCTCCTCGCCACCCTAGTGGCCTCCATCCCCGCCGATGGCTTAAGCTTCACAGACATCTGTAAGACAACACCCCAGCAACCCAACCAACACAACCTAGCCTGGCACCACTTACTGAACTTACCAGACAACCCACTGTGCCACAAGGATTCCGACTGCGGAACCGGATGCTGCTACAACGGTCTCTGTCTCGCGTATTGTCTCCACAATGAGGATGATGTTCACACGGAACTAGTCCGCAGTCTTGTCGATGGTAGTTACCTCACTCACCTTACGCATAGTATTTACCCTACTAACTAAAACCCATCCAGAATCCCTCCTCCGCATAGAAGAGAATTTAGATATTACCGCCCCCGTCTGCCACACAAACAGGGACTGCGGAACTGGATGTTGCTACCACGGCCTTTGTCTCGCGTATTGTCCTAATGATATGGCGAAGCGGGGTGATGGGGGTGCTACTTGGGGTAAGCTTTCCTTATTCTCTGGTTTATTAAGTGAGTTAGATTGGGTGTATAGGCTAATAATGATTATTTTTTATTGGAATAGAGTCCCCAGGCAGGCCTCCGAAGTGCAGCCGGCGGACTTGTAAGGGTGGGTGCTGTCGTAAGGGTCTTTGTGTGTATTGTTATATGGATAAGCGAGATGATCTTGATGATCCTATCGATGCTTACGGTTATGATGCTAATGCTGATGTTGATATTGATGCTGACACTGGTTTCGATGTCAATGTCGATGCCGACATCTTCGATGATAGCGACGACGCAGCACAAGAACCAGCATCTGAGATGATGCACAAGAGTGAGTCCCGACCTTACCTCCTCCCTTCGAATTGCTTTTCATAAAACAACCAGGATACTCCATGCCCGACACCGACCTGCTTCCCACCTCAGCAGACATAATCCACACCGAAGGCATGTGCAGCAAGAGAACGTGCAAGGGATGCTGCTGGCAGAATGTCTGTATGGCCAAGTGTCCTCGCGGTGAGCGGGATGAAGCTGTAGACGATGGTGAAGGATCCGAAGAGACTTCTCTCGATCTTGTAGACTGGAACCTCCCGCAGGTTGTCTGCAGCCGTGCAGCCCCATGTAAAGTTGGATGCTGCTGGCATGGATTGTGTTGGGGTTTGTGTCGGTGGGAAGATAATTAGATGCGTTTCTTATGAAGGGAACTTCCAGGGAGATCAACTGGAGAGGGATGAGAAAGAAGGAGTTTTGCACTTGATTCATTCGGGTGTCAGTACACTTTGGTGGCGATGCTGTACCTCAGTAGTATTGGACTTGAGTTCCTTTTACGTCTAACTGAATAAACATTACATCCAATCCATTCCTGCTTTCTATGTAAGTAACACATCTTTACTGGATCTACTTCTGAAGTATATCAGGACTGTCGTAAACTCATTCTCATAAGATCACCTAGCATACACACCACAACACCTAGATCCCAACCTCCACTCACATCATCCAAACCCCAACCACCACCGGAACGAGACCCAAAACCAACCTCGACATCGAAATACCCCTCACACCCGCACTAGCCATCAATACCTTCGGCTCATACGCCGCCGGCGTCGTACTATTCCTCGTTCCATCCCAGCAATACTTGTCAAAACACTGCGAGCAGACATCCGGCACCTGGGTATTAGTCCGATCAAACGAGCGACTCAGAATAGCACAGCCCGCACAAGTCGGCCAATCCTCGTAAGACTTCCTTGATCCATTACCCATAGTAACCACGTTCCAGCCATTGGTGATCATCTCATCACGCTCCGAGATCTCGTACTTGAGCTGGAAGGTCGACTTGTTGGAGAGGGTTGTGTAGGGGTAGTTGGGGAGGTAGACAACCAGTGGTGCATGGCCTGTGATATTGGAACTATTACAGCCGAAGAAAGTCGGACGGGTGTTCAAGCCCAGGTTAATGAAGGTGCTCTTGTCCGGGACGCTAGGGAACGCAGTGCCGTTTCCGATGCCGGTTGAATTGAGACTACGTTCGTACGTCGCGACGAGAGGACTTCCGTTGGGCCAGTTGTCCGAGGTACTGGCTGAGGAGTCGACGGCGAAGATGACGTCCACGTTGCGGGCGGGTTGAATGAGAGGATGGAGGGGGAGGTTCTGTTTGTCTTCGCCACCGTCGACGACGTTCAGGTCCGGGGTCTTTTCGTATGAAACTGTCGCGTTGCGGTACCCGTAGAAGGGGTTGGGGGAGTAGATGGCGATGTCGTCGTTGCGGTCGCCTAGTTCTTCGAGAATGCTGGCGATGACCGTCTTGAGGGTTGATGGGATGTCGGTGGTGTTGAGCTTCAGGATGAATTGGTTGAAGAGACTGGAGGAGGTTCCCATGACGAAGCCTGCGTTGTCGAAGCCGCGGACGCAGGATCGGCTGGATGGGACTTCGCCGTTCTCGAAGTAGGATCCGAGGTATTCGAGGGGAGCGAAGCCGAAGATGGACGGATCAAAACTGCCGAATTCCCAGGGGTTGAACTCATACACGGTCGAGTTGCTGCCGATTAGGGTCTCGCCTGGGTTGCGGCCGTCGGCGACAAGGAGCGGCATGGGCATGTTTCCGTTCTTGAAGTCCTGGGTTAAAGCGATCGATGACCAGGTGTAGCCGGGGCCTCCGTCGGTCGCGTTGATCAGTTGGTAGGAGAGTGCGCGACCCCAGTAGTCCGTGAAGGAGGTGTTGAAGCCCGCGTCCTTCTTGCCAGCGACTACCTTGGCCAGGTCGCGGTAGTACTTGGCTGTATCCCAGGCTTGCAAGCCGTTGGTCTTTGGGCCTTTTGTGATCGAATTCTGGAACTGCCAGACTTCGCCCTCTTTGTAGGTTTGCAGGTTGGAGACGGTGGTGAAGTTGTTGATATAGATTGAGCCTAGGAGCCAGCCACCTCCGGACAGACCGGACAGGTATGTGGCTGACTGCAGAAGACCACCAAGCTGTCCATTATGGGTTGAGTTTTCCGTTCGACTGTCGAATGCCTTGAGTGCTCCCGCGCCGTTAGTCAAGGCTCTGTAGCCACCGCCGGACACGGCAATACCGATGTTGGGTATGTTGGTGATATTTGATGAATGGCTGTTGATGTACGAAACAGCGTCAAATGAGCTCATGTTGATATGACCGAAAAGATCTTTCATCGCTGAGACAGTCTGCTTACGCCGGACGTCCACCCATGCTGTCTCGTTCGATGACAGGGTTGACGCGCTGCGAATCGTCGGCCTGTTTGCAGGACAGGATACATTGCTCGGGGTATAACCATCGGGGGCATTATCCAGTGCGCGAGGTGATATGTCTGCATATGTGAGGTCGACGGTTGTAGGAACCGCGGCGCCTCCTATGGGCGGGTCAGCATGAGTTAGTGCTGCATGATGAGTTTCGAGAACGGAAATATACCTTGGATATACTCCAGCGCCGCTAGGGTCGTTAAGAGTGCATTGAACTTCATGTCTGCTTTGGGTTGCACCAAGTGACACGTCTAGCATAACACAGACTCAGTGCATTGAGAGTGAGGGTGCGCCAGGGTGATTTATAAGAAATTGACGAACGGACCACACTATTAGAGCTTACTGATTCCTGCGTACCAAAATCTCCGAATGCATAAATGGAGCACAGCAAAATCTGAGGTGGCAGGGCCAAGCCAGGCAAGGCGCAGCATGTAGACATCCTCGGCCCTGAGTTTGTGGTGCCTGAGATATTATTGAGGACCCTATTGTGATTGCATTGTGTCTCGTTCAACTAAGCTAGTGCAGAATCCCCAGTCAGGGTCTATGAAACGGGGGTACCCGATTGGAAGGTGGTGCCAGGCAGCAGAATAATATTGAGGCGATCCAAAATAGTATCCTCCTGTGCAGTCAGGGTTCCAACTGGAATGGCATAGGCTCAGCCCTATGGGGCAGCCCGAAACTTAGACCCTTCCGAGTTTCCGAACGAGAAACAGTCTTTAGGTAAACCTTCGGAACTCAACCTCTACAATGGCCCGGGGTGAAAATATGACAAGACGTCAATGGTCCAGCACAGCCACTGAATATTTCAGCCATGGCATATCCTGCACAAACCACGGGGTTCTCGGAGCAACGAGGCCGAATTGCTGGCTGCCAAGCCTGCATCATCAACAAGGCCGGAGTGGAGACCCTCAATCAGGCAACTGCACCAGTTCCAATTATCTAATATGGTTCATTTCCCCTAGTCGGGCGTGATATGAACGAATGAAATCCACTAGCAGGAAGTTATTGGCCGCGACTTAGCCGTTATTGGCGTAGGAACAGCAACAGACTTCACGCCGGGAAAAGCTACCGGATTAGGTTCGCTACCGACAGTCAGAAGCTGAACTTGGCATCCGGGAGAACAGTTAAAATCACTACACGTAGAAGCGAGATAAAGTCAGATGGATGCTATTTCTACAGTTGCCAAGCAGCATGTTATGGTCCAGATGACAGCTCATGTCATTAGCCATGAAATTGTGCAGAAGCGACTTGGGAGGACTGATGTGGTGTATTAACATACTACCGGGAAAATATGAGCGATGTTATAGCTATAGCACAAAATATTTGACTCAATAATAGGAAAAATCATTGAACACCAGGCATCAAAGTGAATACATCTGGAAGTGACAAGAGTAATGGCTAGAGAGGAGGCATTGAATGGAATGGAGCTGTCAGTGATTGAGAAAACTACGATTGGAGCTGCAGCGCGGGCGGTCAGATTCTGCCGAGTCCGGGGCTTTCTGGCTTCAAGCAATGATCCGACGACTTTCCTCCACAATCAATCTTATTGTATCCGATCACCTCAGCCATGTCTCATTTTCATCCGGATGAGGCCAGGTATCCGCCTGGTCCATCACACAGACCTATGCCCCGCCGTGACGACCGGGACGGCCGCATGTACGACGATCGTTCGCCATCCCGATCGCGCTCGCCTGGCGGTATACGCTCTCCTCCCCGCAACCAGTAGCACAGAGCGCATGCTTTCCTTGGACAAGCGTCCACTTGCTTCCTCAGATCTAGCTGTTACTAACTCAATCACATGAGAAGATCTCTCACGCTCGCCTCCCCGTGGGCCTGCGGCGGACAGAAGACCCGAATATTCCAGAGACCGAGTCGATTCCAGACCCCGTTACCGCAGTCGGGATCGCGATGACTTTCGACGGCGCTCATCACGCTCCCCTCCTCCCAGGCGGGGCAGACCAGCCTACCGGGATCGCGACCGTGAGGGCTATCGCTCCCCAGGATACCACAGCCGGAGCCGAAGCTACAGTCGCAGCCGCAGCCGCAGTCCTCGCCGTAGCCGACAACCCCATTACGGGCACGAAAGCAGAGAGGTGATGATGGATGGTCTACCGGTGGATATGGTGGAAGAAGACGTTCGACAACTCCTTCCCCTTGATTTTTGTTGCGGACTTCGGAGCGGTGCTCCGCCCAACACCATTTGATGGCAAGAGGCTGAGAATGCATGTCACCGGGTTCCGGTCGACGTGGTTTACAGATTACCAAAGAGCTTAAAGAGTTTTATCAAGTTGAAGGCCTAGATGATGTTCGTGTCATTCGTGATCGACAGACGAGTGAGTGTGACTTAACCTATCCCTGCTGCGGTGCTAACAGGTGGCTAGAGCTTTCCCGACAACTTGGGTTTTTGAGGTTTCGGAATCTAAGCTTGTCTCGCGCATTCGTCGAGCGCAACTTTCCTACGATCTACCTACATGGACCCAGCGCACAGGATGACCGCGGCACAAAGGTCCGCATCGCATATAGCCGTGAAAGGGAGGACCGCGCTCGTGCGAGAGCAGAGGCGGACTGGAACTGCATGATGGTATGTTTCACACACAGAGGTTTATAAGCATGGAGCTAACGCATGCAGTGTGGCATTGTGAATTACTCTACTCGTCAGAAATGCTTTAGGTGTCAAGCGCCCCGACCTGGTACGTTCGCTGCCGGCTTCTATCACACTATCACTTTTCTAATCTGAGTAGACGCTGGCCCGGCTGGTCCTCCTGGGTTGCCTGCACCGAAGGTGGAAAACCATGGCGACAATGATGCTGCGCCGGAGAATCAGCCCTCTCAGTTCCTTCTCTTCCGCGGACTGGAACCTTCCGTGACGGAAGAGCTTCTCGCCAAGGGTGTTGCCAAGCTGTATCGTCCTGCATCTGGGAACGAGGCGCCAGGCAATGGGAAGAAGGGGGCGAAGGTGGCTTCTACTACGGGCGATTCTAACCTTGGCGCCAGGGAGGGCTCCATCCGTCGTGTCTTGCTGGTGAGAGACCGTCGCAGTAACGAGAGCTGGCGCTATGGGTTCGCCGAGTTTGCGACTATTCAGGTAAGCATGTCACCATTACACCTCAGAGCTTTCTAACGCCATATAGGATGCCCAAGCTGCCATTACACGCCTGAACTCGTTCGAAAAATTCACCATATCATCCAGGCCGGTTCTCGTCAGCTACATCCACGCCGGTGTATTTGTTCCGGTGCTCAATCCCACAAGCAGTGAACGCTTCACATTCAGTCCTCTGAACAACCCATCGCTAACACTTATGTACTGGGATGAGGAGGCATACGCCAGTGAGCTTACGGTATCAACTGCAGAACTCGATAACCCCAGGGGAGAGAAACCAGCCGGTCAAACCGATCACAAATCCAAGGATGCAGATAAGGCGAAGAAACGCAAGGCGGAAGCGGCCGCCGCTGCCGGAGCCAAGAAGATGGCCGTCCCGTCACATTTGCAGTTCTGGAGCAACCGCCATGCCGAATTGCATGGTATCCAAAAGAAGGACGCGGACGAGAAAAGCACAGAACATGGCTCAGACCACGCAGGCTCTCCATCCGATACATCCGCTCCACCATCTCAATCCTATGCCGATCCCAACCGCAATTGCTGCTACTTGTGCTTGCGCCAATTCAAGTCATCGGCGGAGGTTAATCGCCACGAGCGTCTCAGTCAACTCCATCGTGGAAATCTCCAGAATGAAGAATCGGTAGCCAGGGGGATTCGCAAACTCGTCAAGCACGGGATTATCCCAGCGCCGACGGAGTATCGTGATCGCGCACGGGAGCGGCGCAAGGCATTCGGCAGCTCGAAGCCCTCAGCCAAGAACAAACCCGCTCCGCCCCCGCCAAAGGAAGAGGAACCTCCAGTGCAGAGCACATCAAAGGGAGCATCTCTCCTCAGCAAGATGGGATGGACCGGTGCTGGCTTGGGTGCTCAAGGCACAGGCATGACCGCCCCAATAGCCACAGAGGTATACGCCCAGGGCGTGGGCTTAGGAGCGCAGGGCAGCAAACTGGGAGACGCAACAGAAGAAGCCGGCCGCAACACGCGCAACCGGTACGACGAATTCCTGGAGAAGACGAAGCAAACGGCACGAGAACGATACGAGAAGCTAGACCGATAGCATGTACAGTAGTTTTTAATTCCTTTACACCGTCACTATGGACCCTATGCACGCAATGCAAATATAATACAATAACCCCATCCCATAACCCCAAAGAAAAAGAAAACAAAGAGTAGAGATCCATCATCCATAAACAGGGTATCTATCTTCCAATCACACCACCACATCCTCACTCCTTCTTCTCCGCAGCCGCAGCAGCAGCAGCACTCCTCTCCTTCTCCTTCTGCAACTCCTTCCCAAACTTCTCCCCCAACACCTTCGCAACCCACCCCTCCACCTCCTTCTCCAACTCCTTATCCTCACCCCTCATCAACGCCCCATCCCCCTCCACCATCCCCTTCCTCACGAACTTCCTCATATCCTCCACCCCATTAATATCCAGCGCATACAACGCGCCCCCCGCACTCATCATTCCGAACGACAGCACGTTCATCGTCGCCAGATGCAGCGCCTCGAATGCCTCCGCCCCGCCGCTGACTTTCGGTTTGTGGTACACGCTGCTTGTGTAGTACGGCGGGATACTGGCGAGTAGCTTGCGGTTCATGGCCCGCCGCGTGCTGTAGATGCTGAATGTGAAGAAGGCCAGGCCGCCGAGGAGGAGCTTGAGGTTCGTTTTGGGTGTCCAGAGTTTGGGGAGCGGGGGGTCGAATTCGTCGCTGGGGGAGCGGGTGGATGGGGATTGAGGTTCTGGGGAGGGCGTGGAGGAGGAGGAGAAGAGGGAGGAGAAGAGCATTTTGGTGGGTGGGTTGGTTGGTTGATCGGTGGTGGTGGTGATGAGGTGGTTTGGAGTGGTTGTCGTTGTGGGTTGGTTGTTGTTGTGGTAGCAGTGATAATTGTGGTTCGGGGAGTATGATGGAGGTAGAATACTAGAGTAATGGTATGAGATTGGACAGTGTTGGTTTATGTCCTGTAGAGGTAATGATGAGTCTGTCTGACTGCGATTGGAGATTCTGCGGAGATGATGACCAATCGGGAAAGTCATGGTCATGTGACTATATCCATGTCTGTAAAGAATAAACATGAACAACAGGATCCTATTGAACTGAAAATATACATTTGATTATTTATGTGATAGACTATATACATATTACATGCTTATCTGACTGCCGTTGCCCCCAAACGTATATATCTGCAGTACTCGCTCCTTCTGCGCCCGAATCCATGTATTCATCTCCTCACTCAGGCACAGCAATTCTAGATTCGACAAGTGAGACGATACCATCCATCCCCCCACAAGCGCAGCAGTCGGATAATGAGGCGTCGTCGCCCGTCGTCCATCGGCTTCCGGATACTCGATCTTTTGTCCACTAACATGCACTGACATCGTCTGGCTGCCAAGGATGTACGGCACGGTGGCGCAGATATCCAGAGCAAGAGTCTCAATCAGGTTAATAGTCTCCTGTATATGCTCCAGCATCACACCATCCGGTAGGATCCGCAAACAGCGAAGTATGATATTTTGGACGACTATCCGGGAATCCCGGTAAAAGTTCCATGTCCCTGCCATCCAGAGGTCGGTGTAGCAGTCGCAGCGGTTTTTGTACATGCCGGCTTCCCGCACGGACTGGGGAACATAGACCGCAGGCAATGGTTTCCAGTGTTCGGGGAGTGCGTATTTCCAAGCTTCTAGGTTCGCGTCCAGGCTGTAGGCCCGTGAGAGGATCTCCTGGATGTCATGGACATGGTTTGTCCCTTCTTCGTTGAATCTATCCCATGCTTGTCGGAGACTGACCAGCTCGGAGGTGATCGTTAATAGCTGTGACGATGCTGACTGTGGAACTGGTGCAGACGGGGGCCATTGATTTGGCGTCTGCATTGTGGGATAGGCCAGACCTTTTGATGATTTGATCTGTCCTGGTTAGTATATGGCTGTCTGAAAGATCACGATACATACCAGCTGTACCTGAACCGCATTCTCTAAGATCAATGATATAATAGACGATCGCTGCTCAGGCCGTTTGCTGTTCACCAGAGCAACAGCACCTCGCAAATGGGTCCTTCTTGACGGTCTATTTTCTTTGATAGCGCAGAACTCCTACCGCACATTAGCTATTATCCAACAGAAATTAGCGTGTTTACATACCTCATAAGTAGACAACAGAAGAATTGTCATCAGAATATCATCCACATTATGAGTAATGTCACCCTGTAACGCTTCCCTAGTCTTGGCGATAGCCTTCACAAACAACTGCTGCGCTGACTGAAGAAAAGAGCGATTCCCCGTCCAAGCAGCCACAGAAAAGTACGACACGGCCAAAGTGCCGACATGCAAGTGAGAGTCAGGCTGAGTATAGCAGAAGACATCAGGCAGGATATCCATGAAACCCCGCAAAATCAACGGATCTCTAGGCGAGTAGATGTACGAATTGAAGAACATCGCAGTCACAGTATCGTCAGTTGGTAGAGCCAACCCTCTTGGGACCTCCTGCTGCGCAGTGCGCAGTACCAATCCCGTCTGCGAAAGATCTGCGCTAGGCCTGGTGCTAACCAAAGCATCGTTGGATACTACCGGAGCAGGTGAAGATCGAATTGACTCCACTTCGATCTTCGGAGTGGAGACTTTACTAGATGTGTGTCGCTTCTTGCGATGGAACGCTACTTGGTCTCTTAACATGACATCAAAAGGGTCAGGATAGCCAGGACATGTCCGGCCTGTCCGAACACATGCTCGGCAGTGCGGACGAGTTTCATCGCACTACACTATTAGTATTTCGCTATTCGATTTGCTGATGCAGCATACCTTGATGCGTCGTTTGCGACAGTTCTGGCACCCAGTACTTGGCTTCCCGCCGTATACCATGACGAATATTGCTTTTCCGATCAGGCGGCAAGATTGGTCTCGTACTAATCGTTGGTGTATGCAGTCGAATCCGAATAGTGGTTCCACACAAGCACAAGTTCTAGCACTTCTGGAACGGTTCCTAGCAAGCCCATAGTTCAATGGCCGATCCACTGGAATATTTAGCTGCCAGGGCTCGTATCTTCATTAGTTGTCGCACAGATCCAGCGTTGCGGGACCAAAGCCGCCAGGAAATCAGGCCTGGCAGGTGTCAACCGATCGCCTTATCGTCGCTCACGTGGCGCATGAGTCAGCTTAGCTTATCAGTACGATAAGATTCCTAGATATTAGCATAGTGATGATACATTGAATGCTACACAATCAGATACAAGCATATAGAAGTGAAAAGTCATGTTAATGTGAAAGTCATTTTGATCGTGTAAAAGGGCACATCGCCCGCCAAAGCTGTTGAGGATATCAAGTACATAAATTCCATCGTAAAGTTCACAAGTCCCGAGCGAGCTAAAGAGACAACATCAATCATGAAACATCATCAAATCATAAGTCCATCGCTATACCAAATTATCATTAATAGGCGTCATTTGATGCAAAAGTTGAAGGGTATACAGCTCTGTCGTAATTTTCATCGCTGTTCATAACGCATAATTCATCGCAAAATATCAAGCTTTGCGGCTAAAACCGCATATATGCAATCCAAGCAGCAGACAACCACCCAGTCATCGTACAAGGACTTTTTTTCGGGACGCTCAAGCTGCATCCTATCGTAAATAGCCGGTAGTAATCAACATATCCGCCCGGCCAGGACGGTCGAAACGATCAATTCCTAGATGCTCCTTGCCATCTCGACCAACATAGATGCCAAAGCCGTACATAGAATGCTCCCGATCTCCAGGAGGCGCGACGACCAATCGAGTGACCAGATCCGCCTTGCTCCGAGGCTCGCGCAGGATTTTATCGGCGAGCAGTGGGCTTTGGTATAGAAAGCTCATCTGATCAGCCAAAGTGCTAATGTCATGTGGCAGGCGGCGGCAGCGACGGGGCCAAATGCACAGGAAAGACACCATGTATAGTGCACAGAAGGCCACAATAGCATAGAACGCAGGCATCAGAGCAGAGATCAGGATCGTCCCGTCAGACGGATGGTACAAGGCAATAAACATCCCTCCGGCCAGGATAGGAATCGCCGCAGACACCGTACTCATAAATGAAATCCAGGCCACTTTGTAATGCTTGTTCAAAATTGCCACTAGCGTCACCTGGAAGGGAAAGCAGGACGGGTATGACAACAAAAGGCTCTGCTCTGCTCGAGCACCGGTCGGGGAAGCTAGAGCTGCAAAAGGCTGCAACGCACGGAAATAGACGTCGATCGGCTGCCATGCTAGGAAGAGGACATTCCCAATGAAAGCAGGAACGAAGCTATAGCAAAAGTTGGAAGAGGAAAATGCACCAGTAGATGGCAGTGTTGGCAAACGCGGAGGGAATCCGTCTTTGATCGCACCGTGGATGAAGCTGACCAACACGAATGCAATAAACAAGGCGCAAATGATTAACGTCCATAGAACGACAAAGCCGTCGCGAAGAAACCATGGGATCCAACGATAGCGGATAGCGGGTGAGTATAGATGCTGGTAGTACTCTTCCTTCTGTGCGAGACCATGCTGCTCAATGTCAAATGATACCCTTGACAGGCCATGTGACTGCATCTGAAGGTTCTTCTCCTTTCGGTGTAATGACGGCGTCCGAACCGGTGCATCCGCCTCGCCAATTCCATAGAATATATCCGCACGGTTTGATAGTTTCCAGTAGCCCAATCGGAGGAATCGCGGGTCGAGCGACTCGCCGACATTCGGCAGAGTCTCCGATTGTTCAAAGTCGTGCAAGATGTTCGATCGCTGGATGATTGAAATTAGGTCGGCGAGACTCACAGGGTCCCACATCAATCCCGACCATGTGCGTACAAAACGAAACATGAGCAGGAGCAGGCCAATAGTCAACAACGCATAGATGGCCACCAGGGTCCATCCAACCGCCGAAACCGAGGCCCACCGCCACGTCCCTTGTCCATCGATCAAGTACCACTTAGCCTGGAAGAGGCAACTTAGCAGTGGTAGTGTGATCAGGTTTGACAACCACATGGTGAACAAAGAGAAACCGACTATGCCCTCGCCATGCCGAAAGTAGGAGAAGTCCGGTACCAGGAAGTTCCGTGATAGGATAGGCAGGCTCTGAAGGACGTGGCCGAGCGGCCGCTCTGAAGCCATGATGGCAAACGGCATTATTCTATACACTGCCGCTTGGATCACGAAGGTCCAGATAGTAATGACCATGCCCAAGATTTGCGGTAGGAATTGCATCACAAAGTAGTGGGATCCCCCTAGTCCCGTATAGTCCCAAAGCCCGTCATGCCGCCGCGACCATACATTGCAGAAGCTCAGTCCAGCAATCATAAGCAGGCAACAGATAATTATGGCAGCCAGAGGCCATGACCGTAATACTATAGGCACATAGTCCAACGGTGGGTACAGCAGGCTGTCATGCGGAGGTTCCACCGCGACGAACGATTCTGGATCTACCGAGCTTTGGGGCGCCCTCCCGATAGAGTCGGATGATTGTTGCGGTTGCCGTGCTGGCGGGGTTGCCGGTTGTCCAGGCGAGCGAATGAAGCAGCCCAATCCTTCATCCCAAAGCAGTGGCTCGAGAGGACTGTCATTACTGGCGAGCGAGCTTCGCCGTCTGGGCCCAGCAACTTCCTCATCACGCGTAAGCTGGCTGATGGCAAAATGAATGTATGGCGAGTCATCCACCCCAGGAGTAGGCGGCCGCCCAGCATAGCTGTCACTGAGTTCCCGGCGACTCGTGGTATCTGACATGGGGCTGGGCTCAGGATCTTCCTCTTCGACTGCACGTATTGTCTGAGAAGGGGGTGTAACAAAATTCCTGTTCTCACTCGGAACGTTTAAGGAATGTTCCGACCGTGCACCAGCCGGCTGCGAGGCTAGATGCGTCCGAGAGATGCTAGGAGACGGTGTTCGGGACGGAGGATGAGAGTTCGGTGTCGCATACCGCGCCACGGTGAGTCGACTCCCACTGGCTCGGGATCTTGCACTTGAGGATGGACTTGAGAAAGAGTAGTAGTCGTCGGAGGCGGCGATGGACTGTTGAGACTGGGTGTGCATTAATTGTGGTCGATTAGCTGTGAGGGGATCAGTCATCGGTCAGCCTGATTTCGAAGACGCATCATGCTTTTCCTTGGCTGGGTGCCAAGGTTATGCAGAGTCAACTTACAACTGACAGTTCTGAGACTCACATTCCCAGAGCCCGGAGCGAGCATGGCGGCCGAAAATCAACCGAGGAATGTATGCGGTGAACAGCTCACTTGCAGTGCGGATTGTGGATGTGTCCGATGAACATTCCCTCAGATGCAGACCCTGAACCTGCCCACGAGGTAATAAGAGGTAAGTACAGCAAACAAAAAGGTAAGGGACGGTGCTGAATTGGGCTGGTATCACGGTTGAGGTGGTTGGTTATACGGCCGGCGATGTCTCCCAGCCTCCTCGGGCCCAGCCACCACAAGCCCGAGGAGCAAAGGGCCGAACGGACAGCGCAGGGCATTAGTGCCTGCTTAGCCCTTGGGATCATCGACATGGTCATCAGTGATTGGATAATATTGTCGACGAGACATGATGTTCAAACTGTCAGGGAGGCTAAGGATGTGTGACGGGGGTTGAGTTGGGTTGAGTTGGCCCTTGATGGATGGATCGCCTTGAGTGAGAGCCACCGCCCGATCCAAGGTTACGGCCCGATCCACTCAGACCCTTTGTTTCCCACCCACGGTTCCCATCACTTCACATTGTGATAGTGAAAAGTTTGTTGTTCCAGGGGGAACCAGTCGTTTATTTGTCTAAATAACTCATGAGTGATTGGATTGCTGTTGATCACCGCTAACATCAGGATTGCATGTGGACTCGGGACCACAGAGAGACTAACAAGAAATATATGCAGGTCAACACAACCTACACAGTCACTATGACTGACTAGTTTTAAGAATGTCCACGCATCAAAACCCAGCGAAAATGTGACCGATTTGCGCCAATTATATTATCAACTATCATATAGTCCAGTCTATAGTGGGAAATGAAAATTAGTACTATGGATAGGAATAATACTCATATGTACCCCAGTCATTGCCGGTTATGAATCATACAAATATCCGGCAATGACTCCTCCCCAACCGCCAGCATTATCACTCTGCGTAGCAATGACCTTGGTTCCTTCAAGAACCATATTAGTCGTGCTCTTTGTGTTTGTCCCATACAGGTATATGGAGGTTGAGTTGGCTATTTCGATCGCATTGGTCTGGCAGTCACCGCTGCAATCACCATTGTTGTTGAAAAAGACCCAGTTGCAACCACCGTACAAGAAGAGGTCGGACGAGCCATAAATGCGTTCAAACAATGCCATGCGGCATTTGCTATCACTGGCAGCGCAGTTGCTATAGTCTGGATCACTGCTGTCGAGATACGTCCATGGGGCTGGGTTGAGAGCGCGGCTCCCAGCTCCCTGCCAGTATGGTGTTTCACTCTGCTGCATGGCAGTGAAGACGTTCCGGGCATACTGAAAGTTGTACTGGTAGAGTGTATTGTGCTCGGATCCTGTGCCAATGAGCCAGGTTGCGGCTGTACCTTCCACTAGTAGCCCACGGCCGGTGGAGATGGTTTGCGGGTTGTCCCCATCAAGATCGTGATCCGCTGTCCATCCCCACATGTTCTCAATGTAGGCAGATGATGTAGTGGTTAGGTGGAGGAGCCCCCAGGCTGCCTTGCAGTTGTTAGGATCGCTCGTACATTTACTCTCCACTTGGCTACCCGCTGCTCCACCAATGCGGAAGTGGGTGTTCCAGAAGCCAACGTCCCCGGGCGACCTGGCAGCAATGTTGATCTCAACCTAGAGCAGAAAAACATATTAGCGACCACCGAACACAGGCGTAAGAAAGAGATCATGTCTTACCAATTTGCAGCCCGGAAGAACATCTGCCACAGTGAACACCATGTCGCTGACTTGCGCGACGCCCACATCGCCCGGGTAGCCTACCCTGAACATGGCGCGAGGAGCCGACTCATCCTCAAAGTTGCTTCCGACGGCACTAATCGTCGAGGCAAAAGCATCACCAATGATCCGGGTACCAGCGGGCACGAAAATGGTATCCGTAACAATGTATGTACCGGCGGGGAAGTACATGAGCGAGCAGGATGACTTGTAGCGGGACAAAATAAGGTTAATGTTATGAGTGTCATCCGTCTCACCGTCCCCATAAACCGGGATACCCGGAACATTTTTGATGTTCAATACCTGCCCGGTGCCATACTCTTGATATGTCGGGGGCGCCATGGTAAAATAGTTTTTCCCTGACAAAAGAGATGAGGCCCGAGAAGTCGTGACTGTCTGACCCTGCTGCGACTGGAACTTGGCATTTTTGGAAGTATACTAATAGTTCAGTCAGATCATCATGCTTTCCTTGCTTAGGAGCGCATATTATCAACTTACCAGATGCCCATGTACCCAAGTGTTGGCCACATTCCCGCTCAACGTGGTTTGTCCTCCTATCTTCACTGTGGCGCCTGAATTCTGAACGTTGTCTAGGACGATGGAATTCCCTGCAGTGCTCGAACTAGACGATGAAATAAGAGTACCCATGCCAACACCAGTAGTATCGACGACGGTTAGAGATCCGGATGTACCCTGGGCGTCAATTCCCAGTGTGCCCTGCTCGAAGCGACAGCCCAGAAATACAATATCGGTCCCTCCAGCCTCAACTCCAGTAGTGGTGCCACTGAATGATATGTTCTTGAACACCCATTGTTGGCCACTCAACTTCATGCCGGTTGCACCACCTTTGAACCAAAGGTCGTTCTGTAAGCTGTCAGTGCTAGGCCATACCATCTCGTCGAGGACATAATTACCAATATCAAGTTACTGTTGTAGTCGTATTGTGTAGTTAGGCCGACGTGTTTGGCGGTATTTGTAGGCATATTGAAGCCGACATTTGTGAGCTGAGTCGCCTGGCTAACGGTCCAATCAAGAAGAGTGATCGACTTATCAGTCCCAATGCCGGTTGAGTCGATGATAATGTTCTTTATTCCAATGTAGAAATTGATCGTACCCCCAAAGTTGGGATCCTTGCCGTAGATGATGTGGTCATCCTTGAAATCAGATGACGCCTTCAGGACTGGAGGGTTCGTAGGGTCACCAATTATGACAGTCCCAACATACAGCTGCAGAGATGACTTCATGAGATACGTTCCTGCTGGCAAATAGATGACAGCTGGTTGCCCAGTTGTACCCATGGAAGAAGAACTGCGGTCAGGTCCATTTGATGGTCCAGCTGTATGATGTCCAGGTTTAGAAAATGCTTGGTATGGGTGCTAGGCTTGACCGTACCTTTGATTGCAGCAGAAATAGCTGCTGCTGCGTCCTTCTTTCCAGTATTGTCCGCGCCGAAATCCTTGACGACGTTGCGGAAGACAGTATAGTTGGCTTTGTACTTCGAATCCATGAAGGAAGACTGTCCATTATGACCAATCTGTTCATACCAATATCCGGACGTGTTGCTGGATGAGGAGCAAAGAGAATCCTGCGCAAGTGTTGAATGAGTCACGGGGGCCGTTGTTCGATAAAGCCACGGTTTGGCAGACTGGTTTCTTATCGTATAAGGAATCCCGCTTTTTCAGTCAGCATCTCCAGACATGTGAATGGACAAAGTAAAGCTATAAGACTCACGAGGGCTTCGGTTCGTAAGTGATCGGAGGAACGTATTGTAACGCCGACATTACACGTGACGCTGAGCTATTGCTCCATCCTCCATGGGGCACTGCCCATACTTGAAGTGAGAAGATGCATAATATAGCTACAAGAAAAGAGACAGTATAGGAACCCATGATTGAGACCTATTGATGGTGGTGTATGAATTACACAACAGAAATCAATGCGTCGACAGGAAGCAAATCCATTCAATCCAACCAACAGGCCGTATACTGTCTCGTTAGAACCGGAACGGTCTGACAGGACCTGAGCGAGAGGAAGAACGAATGGCCCAGGTCGGTAGCCTGATTCAGGACTATGAAGGCAAGAGGCGAAGACCGGACTTAAATCAAACCATTCATGGTTCTGTGCTCGAAGACTTTCCCAGCCTGCACCTGCATACCTGGACAGGGCCGAGGCATGGCAGGCCCGGTCAATACCCGCCGCCATAGTATCCGCATACTTGGGCATTGGGTCCAATTCAGGGAATGGAGGGTACTGCGTATGGCACAAGACAACATTTCCTGTTTGACAAATTATGTGATCGGAACACATGTTTTGCTTTTTACGCTTCCTTAGCCTTTCCTCCTTTTCGCTTGGCCGAGATCCACTCGGAGAAGAAGGTTCAATGTGGACCTTACCCCTTTCCGACGGGCAGGCGAATCCGCCATGCTGCATTGCGATGCAAGATGTGGGTTAGCTCGGTAAGTAGAAAGGTCAAGTTCACTCTCTGTCAGGAAACGGTACCTGGTGTGCAGGTATGGAGGAGCGATACAAGCAGTCATGTTAGCATCCGCGGTGTCACACGTATAGACTTATCCTGGTGGCCTGCTGATCATTGCAGGCAGCTCGGCTGGAGGCTTGGAAGGCACCGGATGAGAGACAGCATGCCGCAGGACACATGCCGACCCGCAACCTTGGAGGGAAACACGTAGACCCTGGATGGCAGGGCCCGAGTTATGGACGTGTCGGTCACGTGAGTGTGTCTGCTGGTTGTATGCAGTACATGAATGCCTCAAGTTCCATCTTGGCTTGAATTCGGATTCTTCAAATTTTCATAAGCCAAACTAGCCTTGCTTACGCTGTACACGCCTCGTCATGTATTTGACCACTCCACAAACATAACTAGCAGTGCCCACCTTCCCGTCTACTAGGAACGTTCCTGGCCATTGGCTAATAGGTGACTGTGCATGCTGTTAATAGAATTTATGTGTGTTCTTCGCACTTGAGACAATAAATTCTCTCTTGATCTTTCGATCTCAAATCCGGCAGTTCAGTAGCGGAGAAAGATCCCGAGTACCACAGGGATGTTGTCAATGCTTTCGAGATCGTGTGCAAGGGGTACAATGAATCTACTCTTGCCCCTTACAACTTCAAGAGGCTACAATCTCGCCATCAGCTACTAAGCCAAGACAAATAAACCCTCCTTACATATAACTTGTCAGCGAACTAAACTGTAGCTCTTGGCTATCGGCCCGGATGAAGCTCGGCCATTCATCACCAACGTAAGGTGCAGCTTCACTAGAGTAGAACCCCAATATTCTATTTTCGGATAGTTGGCGAGCTGGCCAGCTTGCCACTGCGATAATCCGTAGAGCTGGTGTATTTATGGTCAAATTCTTCACATTCAAGCCGTAGGACTCCGCGGTTGGCGTGCTGGTTGTAAACCAGCATAACCGAAAAGCCACCAGACACGGTAAATTCCTGTCGAATGTCATGTGTATAATTCTAGCGCGCTATAACATCACTATTCAGTAAACCCTCCGTATGATTCTCAGCCCGACAATGCCTGCAAGCCATCAGGTATGAGCTGCGCCAACTGAACAATCCGAGCCAGTCGAGAATATGATGACAAGTCATTCGTAACAGGAAGCTTTGCGACCAGGGAAATGGCTCCTG